CGTTTCTTAAACACGCACTAAACACTCACTATAAAATTCTAATTAGTGGACGTAACTACATATTATCAATTATAATTGTCAAAAACTATATATAAAAGTACATCTAACGTAACTCGAGTAAATCTCAACAAAGACTAATAAAAACATATGAGAATCGGCCGAGTAAAAATATTTGGGATCACCCTCATCAAATATTATAAAATTATGTATTTCGAACACTAGTATAGGATTCATTTTCTTCCATTTATGTTAGGTAGGTATGAAGGACTTCAGCTGGGAAGTTTTGATTTTCATCGATATAAGACGACAAGACAGGGCCGACGGGTTATAGTTGGTAAAAAATTTAGATAACCTAAAACAGCACAGTCCCACACTTCCTACGCAATAGCACAGTCTTCCGTTAGTAAAAATACAAAACTTCATAATCGTAAGCTAGGTTTCATAACAAATGTAACTAATTTACCTTCAAAGGTGTAATAAAAAAAATAAAAATAATAAAAAAAGAGTATCTACATCTTTAGGTTACAAAATGAAGGAAAAAAAAAATCGCATACCTCGTGGGCGTTAATCCTTTACACCAAGGATATGATATACCATATCAGTTTACCTCGATGGCATCCCGCTCTTCTGATTTGTTAGGGCTAGTTGATCTGGTTCTTAGGGTAGGAAATTAAACACTCCAATGATGACTTGATTTACTATATTTCACACACTGACCCTACGTAAAATGTACAAACACCAACTTGAACAAAGGAATGGCCTGTGCGCATGTGTTACAAGCTCTTTTATCATCTAGTCCCCACTCTGACTCGACCTTCCCACTTCGGGCAGTTATTCGAGTCAATTCGTAACAATTCGTAAATAACCGAATGAGTCAAATGAGTAATTATTGCACATGCGCACTTGTAGCAAAAGAATATGTTTCATAAATTATTTAGAATATAATTAAATAAATAATAAAAGCTAATAATCTAAAGCAAAATTTTACATAAATACAAAATTAAAATTGTAAAGGTAAAAAAAATACGTTTTTATAAAAGTGTCAGCTAGTTTAACTTTAGCAAACAGTATTGCCACGAACATTGCTTTCTATTTAGCCTACATGTAATAACCATGGAATAATTCAATCTGATTTCAAAACGTCATCGTCAGATCTTAATAATATTTGCCTTAAGAATTACATTTTTAATACACTATTTTATAAGTTAGAATTTGTATCATTGGTGGCTTGAAATAAAAAGGTAAATTTTCCAGGTATTCCGCTGTAACATAAAGAATCTTGCTATTAATACACACTTTGAGCTAGACCCAGTCTGCCGTAGAGCGATTAACGCAGTTGTGGAATCCTCTGAAAAGTTCCTCAGAAAGCGAAGCCACCGATGGTTCTGGGCGCTGATAGAAGACCAAATATTCCGAAGAAGCGAGTTCGCGCCCAAAGACCACTGGCCACCACTTTTGGACTTGACGACGATGACTTGAATGTAACAAAACAGTTGTATAAATAATATTATATATGACTGGCCATGAAAATTGTCTGGTTTTTTTCAAAATACGTTTTGTTTTAGTTTTTCATCCTAGCCAATGTTTAATGATTACTAGGAAGGTTATATATCATTTATTTAACAGAAGTAGTGAACCTCCTACCACTGAGACTTAGGAAGAATTCGATATCGGACTCGAGCCGTTTATTTACTTATCGACATGCACATGTGCATATAATCTGTATCTAACAATTACTAAGTAACTTCCAAAGAGATTGCATCACGTTTTTTTTTAAATGTATTTTGTCGATTGGTTTCTTCCTATATAATATGTCCTTAATAATCACGTCTTCGACATTTGAATATTATTATATGATCGATAAAACTATCTTATGTAATCAAATTAATAAGAATGTTCTTCGTTTGTCACCGGCAATGCTAATAGTTAGTCAACGTATTATTCCTTTTTTAGTTTGTCCCTGACGTCTGTCGAATAATGTTAGTCAAACAGTAGTTAAGTACAAAGTACATGGAGTACCTGACCCCAAAAACAATTAATTATAATTTTATCAACAACAAAAACTAATTTGTTCATTGATGCCTGTTCTATTTTAGGCTAAAATGCGTTTGTTTTTTGTTTTCACAGCTGGACCATTTGTAGTTGTTTGAATATAGGCGTAAAAGTTAGATTAATAAAATTAAATGATTTTCAATCCGTCACAGCAATGCAGTAGTCGACACCAATTTTGTTATTGCCTTTGGCTTTGCGTAAAGATTTGGGGTTTCTATGCATATTCTACTGCTTTTGCCATGGAAAGTGTTCAGAAATTAATTCCTGCAGCTGAGTTTCATCATTGGACAACAAGGCATAATACGAAATACCACCCGTTTTTACTGGACGTCCGTCGTTCCGCAACTGAGAAATACTGTACTGTACCCAAAAATGGGAGTGAACCGCCATTGACACCGGTGATTGAAAAACGGCCATTCGCTAATCGAATCCGGCATATTAGTTCTAAAAACGCTCTCTAGTATACGATATTGTAAACTAAAGTTGATTGCAGATGATATTATAATCGTTGTTTAAAGTTATTGCTATTCTCCAATAGATGGCGATCCTTGTATTCTGTCTGGTCAGGCCGGTATTAGAGAAGTAGGGAGGGGGATGACGGGTCTGGGCGTTACTGCATACGATTTTTTACATTTTCTGAGAAGATTTACTATAGTAATATATAAATATATTTTTTAACCATAAGAAAGTAGAGGTTTCAACGAACAGAAAGCACACCAACTTTTTGAAAAAAGCTGATATTTTGACGGGTGAATTTTCGATTGAAAATTAGGGTGCTTTTTCGATATTAATTCAAAATAAGGTGAAAAAATTATTATTTCAAATCAAATAAATTACAGCGTATTAAAGACCAAATTTCGTGGGAAAAAAATAAATTTTGTAATAGATAAAAATTAAAAACCAAAAACTTGGTTTTTTTGAATTTTTCACATAAATTTTGAGGTTATGTGAAAAATGTGTGAATACAAAAGTTTTAGATCTTTTTATTACCTACAACTTTGCCGTTTAACTTTCTTCGATAGGACTTTTAGTTTTGCCGGAAATCGAGATAAACCGTTTTTTACCCTTAAAACTCCCCCTTCCCCTTCCCGACCTCAGATCGCCCGTAAATTATTTTTCCTTTAATTTTTATAATATTCTCCTCCTTTTCCAATAGGTTTCATCCTACTATTATTTTTTTAGGTTTCAAAAATTATGGGCACTGGTCTATTTGCAATTTCTCGCTGGACCGTTAAGTAATTTGTTAACGACAAATAACGCTTGTTTCCTCAATTTCACGCACTCTCTAGATACTTTTTAGAGCAAACACCATTTTTTTAAAGCAAGAATGATGATAAAAGTGGTAAAAATTCACTTTATCTTCTTCTAGTGTAATAGATAACTTTCCCCGGGTTGGATCTGTTTGCAATAAAACTTCGCGTTTACTCTTTTAGGACGTTTTCTAGTGGTAACTATTTATTTTTATTTATTTACGCGGACTTGTTAACTTTACGGTAGCTAGCGCCTTCACCTCAATCGGTCTTGATGACTATTAAATGAAATACTATGGTCTATGACTTGTAAACATTTCGACAACACCGACGACATATTTTATTACCCCGTTTATAAATAAGTTATTATCATTTAATACGTTTATTTCCCTTTAATCATCAATAGCTAAATAGATATTGTTATTTAATAGTTTTAGGGATAAATAGTAGGAAATTTAATAATAAATATATAAAGACTCCAAATATAGTTGTCATGTAATATTCCCAAATTCCATTTGTCCTGTACAAAATTACCTTCAATGTTTTATTATAAAGTTTTATAAAGGACAAGGCTTCATTATGTTTAATTGGATGCTTTATATAAAATTAGTCTCAGTAAGCCCTATCTGTCCTTAAATATATTGCCGACATATATACGTAGACTTGTTGATAATCCTTCACTGTTTCATGTACCAGTTTCCGAGAAGTATTAAATTCAAGGTTTTTTCAAACAGTATCAATTAACATAGTTATGATAAGTATACATGTCAACTAAACAGGTCAAAGGTCAACAATAATTGTATTATTAACTAGCTACATTATTGCACGAGTCTCTGACACATTTTTGCATTCATTTTGACAAGCCGTTACAACTTAAAAAATAGAATCTACATTTTTATGGAAGGTCTAATAATATATCGATTTTTAGTAAGTATTGCCCAGGAAGCGCTTCATTTACCTAACAAAATATTATAGTTAACTTAACAAAATATTATACTTGAGTTTTGGTTTTTATCAAGATTCGAGGACATAACAAATACACTTAGCACTTAATTGTACCAAAAGATGCTGTAAGTTGCACCATAAATTTCCCAATGACTTCTTCGGTACAGGTATATATTATATTTGCTTCGACGCATTCTTGGTTTCAACGGTTTATATGAAACGTTATATTATATAGGTTATAGGTTGGTGGACTCAGTTTCCACACTTAGACTCATAATTGGTCCGTTGTGCGTCCTCACTAATTTAGCCAGCCCAGCTCCTTCCAGAAGCACAGAAGTCTCCTGGGCACTTCACAGGCTTCACGGAGCGACTTCACTGCTCCGAAGATTTCTGCACGTTGTTTAGCCAAAGCCTCGCATTCCAGGGCTACTTGGGTGACTGATTCCTCTGCACAAGGGACTGTCTATGGGACTATCACTAGGGACTGCGCCTAGGACAAAAAGATGTTTATTAAGGAGACAATGGCCATTGGCCCGTTATTTTCCCTAACATTGTTTTGAGATTAACATGATATTATATTTACCAAAACTAATAATATCGTAAGAAAGTTTCTCTTATATAATATAATAATAGTATAAATTAAGTCAAACTTAATATCTAAATGGTACTTCTTATCTTTCCGTAAACGCCCGGCAGACAGCTAGCTCCCTTATTCAGTTAGATTTTCGCTTGCAAACGAAGCAGACCGGCGGTATGTTATTTGTGTTGTTCCTCGTAATTATTGCGTTGTTATTTCTGTATACGACGCGAAACTTTCGATATTGGAGCAAGAGAAATGTGAAATATGACTTTCCAGTGCCACTTCTTGGTAATCATTTCAGAAATCTATTTGGTATCAAAAGTCTTACACAACTGTCAACGGAGTTGTATTACAAGTATCCAGAGGAGAAAGTGGTCGGATATTTTAGAGGCACTACACCGGATCTTGTTATACGTGACCTTGATATTGCCAGGCATATTCTTAGTGTCGACTTTATTCACTTCTATCCGAGAGCACTTGGCAGAAACCCTGAAGTAGAGCCATTGCTTGGAAATATTTTTCATTTAGATGGTGATAAATGGAAACTACTCCGACAACGCTTGACACCAGCATTTACTACCGCTAAACTAAAAGCTATGTTTCCTTTAATTATAAATTGTGCTGAGAAGCTACATATTGTAGGAGAAAAAATTGACGAGAACGGTGGAGATTTCGATGCCCGGGAGTTGATGGCTAGATTTACAACGGAATTTATCGGTGCTTGTGGATTTGGAATTGAAATGAACAGTATTAATAACGAACATTCAGAATTTAGAGAACTCGGTCGATATATGTTTAGCCGACATTTTTATGATATTATTTTAATGGGGATCTGGGAATTATTTCCCGAAGTAAGAAATGTAATACGTGTCAGAAATAGGGATTTAGACGATGCAATATCTAAAATTGTTTTATCAATATTTGAGCAACGAAACTATAAGCCTTCAGGAAGAAATGATTTTATCGATCTCTTGTTGGAGTTATCTGAGAAAGGCAAAATTGAAGGTGAATCTATTGAACATATTGATAGCAATGGAGTATCCAAACATATAGTAATGGAATTAAAAACGATTGATTTGATCGCTCAAGTTTTTATTTTTTTTGCTGCTGGGTTTGAAACTTCATCATCAGCCACTAGCTTTACATTGTATCAACTAGCATTAAACCCTGATATACAGAGTAAGATTCAAAAGGAAATAGATGAAGTTCTGGCAAAATATGATAATAAACTCTGCTACGACGCAATTTCGGAGTTCATTCATCTTGACATGGCGTTTAAAGAAGCTATGAGATTGTTTCCATCTTTAGGATTTCTGCATAGAAAGTGTGCAAGACGATACACTATACCCCAATTAGGTATTACGATAGATCCCGGCGTAAACATTATAATACCGATTCAAGCAATACAAACCGATGAAAAATATTTTGACAATGCTAAAGAGTTCAGGCCAGAGAGGTTTGCAGACGGTAAAAACATGAATAAATATGCGTATTTACCTTTTGGAGAAGGACCTAGAGCTTGTATAGGTAAGTTGAAACTTAGGCGGATGTAAATGTATAATAGTAGAAAATAACGATAGCATAGTGTTTGCGTTATATTATCTGACAGATTAAATGAATCATTTATTCGAAATAATGGAAGTACATCGATAGTCGAATTTATGATTTTGTACTTACAATATATTTTGAAAAACTGACAAAGACTACGAAACATTTAATCATTTGCCTTTGGGCATATCGGCAAACTGAGTATGTTGCCACAAATATGTACGTTTCTATTATATGTAAACGGAGATGGAATCAACCGGTACAAACTGGTCAAGGAGCAAAGTAGTAGTTTTATACCGGTTAATTATATACCTTTGAATACCTCATTATACATATAAGAATTGTTTTCCGACTGTTTGTATTGCGACATCAAAGATCTTTTCAAAACATCCACTTAATTAATAACAACAGAAATATCACAGATATATTTTTTTTTTATTGTCCGTCTATCGCTTTATAATCTATCACTGATATTATATATTGATAAATAAAAGCGGGCGTTTAGGTCAGATAATGAATATTTTAAATAGTGTAGTTTCACTAGTAGTCGAGCAATTTTTTCGAGATGACATAGAAAAAAGTGGAGCATGACGGCCAGACTCGAGAGGTAACGCAAGTTCGGCTCTGTACAACGAGACGAGCAAACAACGTATACGGCGAGAGAACGTTGAGGTATTTGCTACCGCGGCTAATAAATGGTCTACCCAATACGATATTAGAATGCCTATTGCCTAACGCCAACAAACATAAACAGCAAATTAAAAAACTACTTTTATATGCATTTGTCGCGCTCCTAAACAAGACTGTTATGGTTACATTAATACAAACCACAGCGGTTTTCTAATGTAACATATTGTGATTATATTATATTATTTTGTAAAATAAAGAAATGAAAAAAAAAGTTGTATGAACTAAAAGTATTAATTGGCTCATGAAAGAGAAAGAAGTTTATCTGTACTATAGGTTCTATGTTATGATTTTCTATGGGTTTGGGAAGAACTAGAGACGTATAAAGCGTAAACATATTGATAATTTTGTGGAACTTGTACCTATACAATCTGTAGCGTAGTTTATGCCAATGTCATGATAATTGTTTAGGGTTCAACGATCTTAAACGGTTTGCAAAATTTGAATGATATCTGTTATGCTGTTTGGTCACAATATTGTTTATTCGTTTTTACAACAAACAACATATGGTATGTAGTGAAAATAGAATGGATAGTTCCCACAGACGATTTTATAAGAGACTTGCCGTTTTGTGTTACGATTTTGTGCGAAAAGGACATCCCTGCCCTGGCCCCTGCTTACCTCTCAGGTCATTGGTCGCTGTGGCCTGTGACCGAAAATGATTATGTAATTTGTCCACGCACACATAGGGCACCTGCCTTATGCGCGCGTATTAATCGTCATAATTAAATTAAAAAATATAAGTCGTACGAATAAAGATATTTGTAAAAACCCAATATGAATTAATAAATGATGTGATAATAGTGGTAGCTTAAACATAGGGGTAGAAACACCAATAAACTATAGGTACAAATTAATGTTTGCTAATGACATAGAATTTTACGAAAAAAAGTTTACTTTTAGTGATGTCTAAGAAAGTAAGTTTCTTAATAAAACCTTATAGTTGTTCCAAAAGTGCAATTTTATTCCAAAGACGATACGTTTTATTTATAGGGAGCGTTCAAGTATTACGTCCGCAATTTTTGGAGATTATTAACTCCCCCCTTCCCCCCATGTAACGCGCCGTAACGTTTTTCTGTACCCAAGTATAGTAAAACATTTCGTGACCACGTAGTGACTCTTTATACCTAAAAGGTGGTGTGTAACGTGTAATTCAATCCCTGCCCCGCATCGAAACGTTTACAAAAGGACCCCCCCCAAATTCGTTACAAAATACTTGAACGCTCCCTAACAAGAACTCGTACGTCATATAATAATAATTTGAATACACAAAATAATCGTTTGTTTGTCACTCATTTGTTTATCATAATGACAATGAGTCGATCAACTTTCCTAGTGAATAACAAATTTTGAACAACGCACAAAATTCTTTGACGCCGACAGCTCTAGTTCTAGCTAGGCGTCGCGCACCGCTTCGTGCTTTGCCCTTTACATCTAGGAATGTAAGATAGATGATAGATAGATAGTTGTAAATTTATAATAATACATAACTTCAATCCGGTCAAACAGTTTTTTCTTTAAATGTGTAAAGGTTATGTAAATCAAAGACAATACTATGGAATGTAAGATCACAAAATCATAGAGTAAACCTAATTTAATCAAACGTTAACCTATTACAAAGATACATTTATCTTAGCGATGATATTTACGTCCCGGTCGTAGATATTTTTTTCGACCTATCGAACTAGCACGCCAGTGTGCGCCTTGTTGAACGCCGTAAATTTATCGACGAATTTTATCTCAACTTGTTTGAATGAGACGATAGGATTTTTAGTTAATATCGTTTTACTTGTACTGTTTTGATAATATGCATATTACAGCTTTATCCTTGCACTATAAAACAATGCCATAACGATTTTGAAGAGAAGAATTAAAGAAGAATTTTTATACTTCTTTTGGCGCCTTAGGGAAAAATGATGAGTAATATTTTTCTATTGCCGTAGAACAAAGCGAAAGATACAAAAATTTAAAAGATTTTTATCTCGTTACGCCAAAGTATAGTTTCTAATGCGTGTAACATAAGTCCACACACGTTTTTTTTCTACGTTGTATAAATTCAACACTGAGTCAGTTTCACACAGGTAGATTCGTAAACATGACGTATTATCAATTATTGTGTATTCCTACATTAAATAAAAAACCGATACTTACATCATCGTCCTACAAAACGTGACTTTATAAGACAATAGGACGCGATGATGTGAGTTGTGAACTTGTCAGTTTAAATCAAGGGTTCGTTTTCTGTTGAATGTTTTTCTTCTTCACAAAACTATAACAGTTCCTAAAAACTTAGCCGAGTATTTTGATACAAATTAAATAATGAAATTAAAAACTGTTTAACATTAAGAGATATATAGCCTTGAATATATCGCCAGAGCTATATGACGCAATTAATATTTATTTATACAACTGTATACCTACCAAAATAACTCGGTTGTTCATGAAATTTTGTCAAACATATGTTAACATTTAAAGCAATAAAATAATTGTACTTTTACCTTTAAGAGAAGATTTAATGGATTTAAAACTTCAGTGGTCCCCTCATATTAACGGATTGGCGAAGAGACTTCGCGGCCTACGCGGTTAAAAAAATTCGCTCACTAACTGATGTCGATACAGCTAGACTTGTTTATTTTAGTTACTTTCATAGCTTAATGACTTATGGCTTATTATTATGGGGTGATGCTGATGTCGAAACTATTTTCATCCTGCAGATTGCCTATTCGTGCAATCTATAATTTAAAATGTAGGGAATTTCTTAGAGATAAATTCAAGGAAATTAATATACTTACCTTTCCCTCGCAATATATTTATTAAAATATTATGTATGTATACAAAAATAGTGATAAGTTTACTAGAATAGAACATACGCACAATGTACTCGGAACAAATGCAGGCTGCAATTTCCCCGTACTAGACTATCTAAAGTTAGTACTTCTTTTTTGGGAAAAGGGATACTCTTCTTTAATAAAATCCCAGAGGCTCTTTTATCTCTGCCTTTTAATAAATTTAAGAAATGTATTAAGGAAAAGCTGGAAAAGTCAACGATTATCTAGTTGATAAAAGGGCCGGGGGCTAGTGCTAGACAGGCTACTTCTAATTAATTTGCGATATTTGTTTTAAAATAAGTGTTGTTTGATGATTTGCTATTTTAAAAGAGTACCGAGAGTTTTTTACGCCGGCTTTTTCTCTCGGCCTACACCCTCTGTCTTCATGCCGATGAGTAGGGATGCCTACAAATTCAAATTTAATGACGTGGAAAAAGTGATACAAGTATCTTATGTTCCATAATAAACATATTTTTTTTTATTAACCGTTTAAGCCGTTACGGGCTGTTCAAGTTTTTATCTTTTTTGAGTCTAGAATATAAAACCATCCTTTCATATAGGTTAGTAAACCATCTACTTACTTACTTTACTTTTCTAGTAGTCAAGCACGTCGTAGCGTAGACAAATTTAATCTCGGGTTATTTTTTCGATAATATAATGAAAATCAATCCGAGAACAAAACCACCAATAGGACCTACAAATCCGAAGTAGCTGCAAATCCGAATCATTTTGTTTGATATTTTTACGCAAAAAGGTTTATTTATACATAATTATTGCATATATTATTCACAGGCGCTCGACTCGGTCAGATGCAGTCTCTGGCGGGGCTGGCTGCTATTCTGCAGAAGTTTACCGTAGAGCCTTCAGACAAAACCCCCATGGAACTACCTATTAATCCATGGAGCAACACTGTACAGTCTGTGAAAGGAGGCATACCATTGAAATTAAAGCGACGGAAGTAATAGACTGTCAAATTTTGATTTCGGCATTTTTACTGCTCTATGCTGAATTGCTTTCTTGTATTAGCTTCCATTTGGTAAACTTATTTAAACACAGGTAGGTAGAGAGTACGAAATAAAAAACACCAACACATTACATTAATGAACGACTCCGAGTACTGAGTTGTCGTATGTACGAGTACCTAAATGCATTCATAAAACTATACAGTTGATTTATATATGAAATATAAGAAAACAGTTATATGTATTTATATCGACGCTTATAAATTCATAAATCATAATGTGTATAATGTAATTTTGCTATATCCCGACATTCACTTAAATAAATTATAAAATTAAATTAAAACCGTTTTATTTCTTACGTGCTAAAAATGAAAGACGCCTCCCACTTGAAGGGAAATTCGCCCGCGAAACAAGTAATAGCTTCCTTAGCTATTTCGTCCTAATGGGAAAGGCTAAGGACTTTAGTCCATACAGGAAAATTTTCCAAATAAGTTATAACTTATAGGTCTATGTTACCAGGTCATAAAAATAAAAAAAAATAAAAAAAAGGAAAAGGCCATCTCTAGCCGACTGTCTAGGCAGGGCTAGTTGAAGGAGTACTCTGTATTGAAAAAGTATTAGCACAGAATATAAACCATGTTACCATTAATTAATAAAAATTTCGTTTGCCCTAGTCTTTGTATCAATTTAAATTGACAATTTATTTGCACAAATGAATTTATAACTTATTACTCAATTGTTATTCGTATAAGGATACAATTATAGGTTGTATTGTCACAGTTATATTATATTCTATAATCGTCACTAATGTTTTAACAGCTAAAGTATTTGGTTCGTTAATAAAATGTTTTTATTCTCATTCTTTGTTGCGTCAATTTTTTTAATTTTGTATACGTCTCGAAATTTTCTCTATTGGATTAAAAGAAACGTGAAACATGAACTTCCGCTGCCAGTGTTTGGAACTCATTTCAAGAATCTATTCGGAATCAAAGCTCTTACACAAATAACAACGGATTTATATAATAAATATCCAGAAGAAAAAGTAGTTGGATACTTTCGAGGCTCAACCCCAGAGTTAATAATTCGAGACCTCGATATCGTCAGGAATATACTGAATATAGATTTTATACACTTCTACCCACGAGCAATGGGTAGAAACGTTGAAATGGAACCACTGTTAAGAAATTTATTTCACGTGGATGGTGATAAATGGAAACTCCTACGGCAGCATATGACCCCAGCCTTCACCACAGCGAAATTAAAGGCAATGTTTCCTCTGATTATAAATTGTGCAGAAAAATTACACACCGTAGGAGAGGACATTGCTAAGAATGGAGGAGAATTTGATGCTCGAGAATTGATGGCTAGATTCACTACAGACTTCATCGGTGCTTGTGGGTTTGGTATCGAAATGAATACTTTGAATAATGATCATTCAGCGTTCAGAGAGTTGGGTAGAAAAGTATTAAATGTACCTTTACGTGATGCCGTTCTTGTGGCTGTTTGGGACCTTTTTCCAGAAGTGAGAAAGTACATTTGCGTTTCTAATAACGATGTGGAAAAGGAAATGTATAATATTGTTGTAGAAATATTTGAACAGAGAAAGTACAAGCCATCTGGTAGAAATGATTTCATCGATCTTTTGTTAGAGCTAATAGATAAGGGAAAAATTGTAGGAGAATCCATCGAGCATGTCACCAACGGAGCTCCACAACCTGTGGAATTAGAACTTCAAACAATGGATTTGGTAGCACAAGTGTTTATCTTTTTTGCAGCTGGATTTGAAACGTCATCGTCAGCGACAAGTATGACATTACATCAACTTGCATTAAATCCGGAAATACAGCTTGAAGTCCAAACTGAGATTGATGAAGTGCTAACAAAATATGACAACAAACTTTGCTACGATGCAATATCAGAGATGACTCAATTGGATATGGCCCTTAAGGAAGCCATGAGATTATTCCCATCTTTAGGATTTCTACAAAGAGAGTGTGCAAGAAAATATACGATACCACAATTGGGGATAACGATCGATCCTGGTGTGAAAGTAATAATACCAATACAGGCAATCCATACTGACGAAAAAAATTTTAAAGACGCCAAACAATTCAGACCTGACAGGTTCTCATCAGAAGCTGTAAAAAAATTAAATAATTACGGTTATTTACCGTTTGGGAAAGGGCCAAGGGCTTGTATCGGTAAGTTGTTTTCACAATTTCAAGTAGGTAAAAAGTTTTCATGTGAAATCTCTGATTAAATAGTGAACTTTGTATATAGTGTATATAGTGGCTAATTATTACGAGCATTTCTTTATTCAATGAACAGAAGAGTTCATTACTTTCAGACTTTACTTATAATTTACAGGGGCACGTCTCGGTCAGATGCAGTCCCTAGCTGGTTTGGCCGCGGTATTGAAAAAATTTTCGGTGGAACCTTCAACAAAAACACGGGTGGAGCTGAAAATTAACCCTTGGTCCAATATTGTTCAAATTGTGGATGGTGGCATTCCTTTAAAGCTTAAATTACGTAAAATGTAAAAAATATTCCTTTAATAGGGGAAGCGCTAAATACGATGTAAATGATTTGTACGTTTGTGAATTAGGAATTATTATAATTTACGGATTATTTTTTTTTTTTTTTACTTTTCACATTATGTAAGTACAACTAGCTTGTATACAGCATTTAAAATAACTAAAACTTCTATGAAATAACTTCTTTATTAATGATAAAAATAATAGGTCGTGAGTTGTACTAAGAACACGTATTTATATTAATATTATAAAGACGAAAGATTCCACAAATCTAAACTACAAAATTTAAAACGACTTACATTAATTATTTAAGAATGCTTATTTTCCCCACATACTGTTCCGGAATAGCAAATCACTAAAACAAACGCGAAGTTTGTATGCGTGAATGGATATTTGGTACTAATGTACATAAATAATTCACATAATATTCATCAGAATAACATAGGCTATAATTTACAAAGATTTTGTGCAAATTGGCCAAACTATAATAAGCGCCACGTAAGTCGGAAACGAATATGTAGTGTAAATATATCTCTTAAAAAGTTTTACAAAACGGTCAATAGTTTTACAAAGAATTCGATTTGATGAATTTTTATTTAAACATAGGAAGGAAAATAGGCAGTAATCTTGCGCAGACGAAGTCGCGGGGTTGTTTTTTAGCTCCTAAACTACCAATTTAAACATTCTTTCACCATTACCATATTTTTATAGGTATAAAATCTTCGTTCTTTTGTAACGCCCAAGGTAAGGAAAGTTTAAACTCACATTATTGACTTTTCACATAATTTTTTTTCTATTACGAAAACATCACAATCTCGAGCGACACAAAATTCGTATCGCAAGATGCTGAAGGACAAGCAATTTCATCCTTACAATTAAATCCCTCCAAATCATGAGTTGTCTTAAAGTCAGCAGTCTTCTAATTAGTATTTTGTTAGTTAGGCGAGGGGGCCGATGGCTCGCCATGCGTCATACTCGTGAACGGGTGCTACTTGTGGTGACTGGTCGGACTTGAATTCGGTGATGTTAGTTATTTCGACTAAGATATGCGTGTTGTTCCCACGAGAATGTAAATGCGTGCTCCTATTTCACCATGCCTCCTGCTGATAGAGGACAAATCTTTGTTTTTAATTTATTATATTATTATTAATTAACTATTAATTACCAAAGATTCCGGTTCCGGCGGTCAAACTGTCAACACGTACGTCAACGTCGTCCGCGGATTTTAATCGTAAAATTGTGTTTTAAAGTGACATTTTCGTGCTGTGAAACGTAAAAACATTAAAACGAAGTTCATTAAACACAACTAATAAAAGAACACAGTGAGAGTGCTTAAATATCGTGCGATAATTGTTGAAAAACTTCTTCAGAATTATAACCTCAAATTAATAACGGTCATAGACAATAGACTTGTCTCAGCTTAGCTTAATACCAATACCAACATTACGCCATTGTGACAGTGTCATTGACAATAGTAGTGTTGCCATTCAAAAGAAATAAAAGCTGACAACCAGTGCTACCACACAAGAAACGAAATTTCCCTAGTCATGGACAAGAACATGGAACTACTTCTAAACAAACTCGATGAGAAATTTAAAAATCAAACCGAACTTATTACATACTCCGTAACTAAGAGCGTCATGGAGGCTTTAGACGAGAAAATGAAAACTATCTCTGAGGAAAATACTAAACTCAAGAACAAAATTTCAGAACTGGAATTTAAACTCCAGAGAGCAGAGATAGAAAAGAGAAAAAACAACCTCGTCTTTTTTGGAATCAATGAAAATATTAAATTAGAAACGGAGTTAGTGGATTATATCAAAGAAATAATTGTGGATATGGGAGTTCATATGGATAGCCTAGAAATTAGCAAAGTATATAGAATTGGGCAGAAAACTGATAATAAAACCGTCCAGTGATAGTCACCATCACAACTCAATGGAAAAAACATCTTATACTCAAAAATAAGCCTGACCTCCCACAAGGCGTCAACATAAAAGAGGACTACCCCAAAGAAATCCTAGACAAACGCAAACAACTGCAACCGCAAGTAGAAGAAGAAATAAAGAAAGGAAATATCGCCTATATAAAATACGACAAGCTCATTGTAAAGAAGCCGAAAGAAAATAGAGAGAAGAGGAAGAGAGAAACTTCCGACTCACCAAAGGCACCATTAGAAAAGAAAACTAACAAGAAAGCAATATTGAACAATCCATCATCCACACTACCCAAAACACATACCAAAGATATCTTAAGACCCAACATACTAAACTATGTAGAAAGAGCAAGCTCTGATCCACAAATAAATCTCTCAAAAAACTGAATATGCCCCAGGACCACCGGAACCATCATACACCAACAATTAATTATTTACACAAACAATTAAAAAAATATCTTCCACCACGGCTGGTCCCCGCGGAAGACTTAGACCATCACCCTCTAACAAGAACAAAAAACAAAAGGAATGAGAACAAATTATACATAGCAACTCTAAATACCAGAACTTTACGAACACCAGAATCTTTATCGGAACTTGAAGAAGCATTGAAGGACCTAAAATGGGACATTTTGGGAATCAGTGAAATGAGAAGAACAGGAGAATGTATTGAAGAGCACCAGGACTTCGTGCTATTTAACAAAGGAGACACCGAAGGACAAGGAGGGGTCGGATTCATAGTTAAAAAGCACCTAAAAGAATACATAATAGAATTCATTGGAATTAATGACCGAACTGCTATACTCAACATCAAATTACCTAGCTTCAAAAAAACATGGACAATTATCCAAGCCTATGCTCCCACGGAACAAGCAAAAGAACTTGAACATGAATCTTTTTACAATGAACTATCCCAAGCTATTATAAGTAATTACTCAAAAAACATAATTGTACTAATGGGAGATTTTAATGCTCAAGTGGGAATAAAACAATGTAAAGAAGAATATGTGTTAGGAAACTTTGGCTACGGCAAAAGAAGCAAAAATGGACAAAGGCTGGTTGAACTCTTATTAGAACACAATCTAACCCTCCTAAATAGCATTTTTAAGAAAAACAAAAACAACAAGTGGACTTGGATCTCTCCAGGCGGGAATCATAGAAACGAAATAGACTATATTATAAGCAGCCACCCAAATCTATTTACGGACACAGCAGTTATATCAAAATTAAACTTTAATACCGACCACCGCATGGTAAGGGCGTCACTCAAGACTATACCACCCAAACAATCCAGAAAGTTTGCTATACATGACACACTCCCGACATGCAGCACAGAACCCAACAAAAGAATGGAGAATTCCTTGTCATCACTCAGCAGAGAACTATTAGAAACAGATGCAATAGATGTAAAAACAAGTTACAACAAATTACAAAACAACATTACATGTCAAAAAGAACAAAAACGACCACAACATAAATATAATTTAAGTAACTCAACACTACAACTTATAAATGATAGAAAAAGTTTACTTGACTGTAAAGTAAGGAAACAGAACATCCAAAAAATAACTGACTTAAGCAAAAAAATCAAAGAAGGTATAAAAAAGGACAGGAAAGTTAAAAGGTTGCAAACTCTAGAAAAACATATAGCAAGGACAGGAGGAACTAGGAAAGCTTTAAAGGAACTCCGAGAATCAAACCAATGGATCCCGAAATTGAAAAACAACCAAAAAAATGTAACAGACCGAAAGAACATAAATAGAATAGCTACAAAATTCTACCGCAATCTATATTCTAACTAAGAACCCAATACACATGTAAGTCAAGAAACCCTAAATTATAATCTGCTCTTAGTGAACCCAGAACCTGACATATTACCCAGAGAAACTAGGAAAGCCATACTAAGCCAAAAGTTAGACAAAGCACCAGGTCCTGATAAAATCACAAACGAACTACTGAGAGGAACCATAGAAGAACTGGTCCCCATTCTAACTAAAATCTTCAACGGCATCCTGAGGTCGGGACAGGTTCCAGAACAATGGGAGACATCCCACATCATTCTCATACATAAGAAAGGAGAAAGAGATAACATAGGGAACTACAGACCGATAAGTCTGATGTCTAACATATATAAAATCTTTTCCAAAATAATTTTGAACCGAATAAGCAACACACTTGATGAAAACCAACCGAAGGAACAAGCTGGCTTTAGAAAAAACTTCTCCACAATAGATCACATCCACACAGTCAAGCAAATTATGGAAAAATATAATGAGCACAACAAACCGCTATATATGGCTTTTATCGATTATTCTAAGGCATTTGACAGCATTAGCCACACAGCCATATGGGAAAGCTTACAGAACCAAGGAATTCCGACAGTGTACATAAACACCATTAAAAACATTTACTCTAACAGTAAGGCAAGAGTACAAATGGAAACCTTGGGTGAAACATTCCAAGTAAAAAGAGGCGTCAGACAGGGCGACCCGATGTCTCCAAAGCTGTTCTCCGCGGTGCTGGAAAATATATTTCGGAAGCTAATATGGGACCAACATGGATTAAATATAGACGGTAAAAAACTAAACCATCTTAGATTCGCTGACGATATTGTTTTATTTGAAGAACAACCAGGGAGCCTAGAAAAAAAAAAAAAATGATACAAGAACTAAATACAGAGAGCAAAATAGTGGGCTTATCTATGAATATAAACAAAACGAAGCTATTAACGAATTCAAACAAATATGAAATAAAAATTAACAACCAACCCGTTGAATATGTAGATGAATATATCTATTTAGGACAAATCATCTCACATACAGACACAACTACAAAAGAAATAAAAAGACGAATAGCTAACGGATGGAAGAGATATTGGTCACTGAAAGAGATCATGAAATCCACAGACTTGAGTACTGGTATCAAAAGGAAGGTCTTCAATACCTGCATTCTCCCATGTATTACATATGGGTCTGAAACTTGGGCTCTCACAAAACATCACAGAAACATGCTGGAACACTGCCAAAGAGCTATGGAACGAAGTATGATAGGTATTAAGAAACAAGATAAGATACGAAACACTGTCATAAGAAGTAAGACAAAAGTCACAGACATACTCACTAGAATAGATAGCTTGAAGTGGAGATGGACTGGGCACATGATACGTGATAAACAAGAAAAGTGGAGCAACATCATAACTGACTGGTACCCTAGAGATGGGAAAAGGAACAGAGGAAGACAAAGCAAGAGATGGGAAGACGAATTAAAATTAACAGCAGGCTCAAAATGGAGAAGGGTTGCAAGAGACAGAGTACAATGGAAATTGTTAGAGGAGGCCTTTGCCAAGAGGCACACTGAACTTAGAGATATTATATAACTTAAAGATAAGAGTCAACTAAAAGTCCAAGAAACAGTTCAGGATAAGAGGCTTATTATTATTATTATTATTATAATTACCAAAGAAGTCATGTGGAAAATGGTGTAAAGGTTGAATCACTTTACAAACATTGTGTAAAACAAAAAACTTGCCGATTAAAAAGAGTGGCGGAGAGTTTATTGCCAGTTCTTCTCTTCCGTTCTACGCCCTTGATTTGACTGGCAGTAAATATAAATTAGAAGCATTTAATGTATATTTCCTTTTTTTTTTGACGGTAACACAATGTACACTTATTATCAGAGTCTATGTGTGTTGTTAACAAAAGAGGTTAGTGTAGTGGATGATTGCTATTGTGGAAAAAAATTTATTTGATAAGAGTCAAGACATTTCCTGTCATTTAAAAATGTAAATAGATGTTTGATAGTCTTTATTTTTCCTAATGTTTTTTTAATATTTATACATGCAATGCAATTTGTAAGAATTTATTATGGACCCTGTGATTCGTTTTACACAGTATCGCATAAACCTCAAAAACTAAGAGGTCTGAGAGGTAATTTATATTTTTAGAACGAACATTAGCTGTCCCGTCCGTGTGTTCATATACCGTAGTGTTAGGTCTAGGGTCATACAGATACATATTTCTCCATAATGCAATTTTAGCATAATTTATCGTAAAAACAAAGACAAAAGCATGTACCTACACAGGTAAATGTTGTATTTAAAGATTTACATGTCATCATTACATGAAATTTTTCTTGTAACCGTTTCTAGTAAATTTAGAACACTTTAAAACTAATTTAACATTAATTAACTAGATCATCTCCAAACACTCGGCTTCCGCGTGGATCTGATACCAGTTGATTATGTCAACTATTGCGTGCTGGAGATGTGTGGACATGAGGTGCGTAAGAGAGTAATAGCTTTTACTATAATAAAATTGTTGAATACTGCAATTTGTAGCTAGGAATGGGGAAACCCCAGAAGTGGTCTTGGCAGATTATGTATCTATAGTCAGATTATCACCTGTCTGTTAAACTAAGGATGTTTCCGTAATAATTGTTCAATAATAAAGTTAACAATTACTAAGGAAAGATACTGATACTAAGAATGCTTAATACACATTCGTGATTGTATAGTGATAAGATTGCTGGGTATTATTGAGAACAGTATATTGTTTTATCAAAGTCCAATCTAATATAACAATGACATGCATTATAAAGACTTTCGCCCTAACTGTACGTGAATACTTAAAGACCATGCAACATATTTGAAAAAAGATGTGGTTTTCATCAAGTCAAGAGGACTAATATTTGAAATAATCTCTACAGAGTATAAAATAAAGTTTATCATTGCAAGTGCACGAATTTTTCATGCAAAATCACGTTACTAATTTAATTTAAAAATTTAACTCAAAAAATATTTATTCAACCCATCCCATCACAATCATAAATAAACAATTTTTATTTGTGTCAGACCAAGTTGTCAATAAAGATAAGTACATCTTTAAGAACTGTAAATCTAAAGCAACAACAAAATTGTAGGGTTCAAAAAATATATTTTTATAAAAATGTCAACTTGTTTGAAGCAAAACACTATATTTTTTTGTTTGGGGAAATGCATTGCGGAAACCCTACCGCGGCGCCACTGTTTAGTGCGGGAGGGTTATGTGCGACTCGTTATTGTGCAATTGTGCATACCCACTAAAACCCCAAGGCGCCGCCAACAATCGACTTAGGCGGGATACGGTAACAGCAGAGCCATATCCACTTCCCGACATGCGATACGGCGGTTAGGTCCGCACCCATTGTTAGTTTGTGAAGATACTTGACACAGCAAGTTTCCTTCACAGACCGGGCCATTCTCTTTTAGTAATAGCTAGGGCAGATCGGGTCTAGTACTAGCAGCGAGGGTTTTACCGCGGTGGGAGGGGTTTAAACCTAACATACCTTTTATGGTAGGTATACAAACAGTAATGTCACGTAAATTGCTTCCTATTCAGCCTACATGTAATAATTAATAAATCTGATTTCCAAATGCCTTATCTTCATAATATTTGCCTTAAAAATCACATTTTTATTTTATAAGTTAGAATTTGTGTCATCGGTGGCTTGAAATAAAAAGGTACATTTTCCAGGTATTCCGCTGTAACATAAAGAATCTTGCTATCAATACACACTTTGAGCGAGACCCAGTCTGCCGTAGAGCGATTAACGCAGTTGTGGAATCCTCTGAAAAGTTCCTCAGAGCGCGAAGCCACCGATGGTTCTGGGCGCTGATAGAAGACCAAATATTCCGAAGAAGCGAGTTCGCGCCCAAAGACCACTGGCCCTTTGGACTTGACGACAACTTGAATGTAACCAAACAGTTGTTTAAATAACAAATAATTGGCTGACCTTGAAAATTGTTTTATTTTTCCAAAACCCGTTTCGTTTGAGTTTTTCCAGTATTCAAGGATTAATAACGTAATCTTGGTTAATTAAGAATATTTATTTAAACAAGATTAATAGGTTTAGTTAATTAATAAGATAATCGCTTGCTCCGAGGAACAAGTCGTAAAATCATAATCTATTTTTTTTTTCCTGAAAAATAAAAGAAGGTAATGCTCTTATTACTTGGATACTAAGGGTCTGTTTCACAATGTATGGATAAAGTACCAAATAGCTATGCAACACATTAATTATTTGGAAGATAAATTGTCCTATTTGACATTCATCGGATTCATGGATTTTATGTGACGAATAGCGCTATCTGACAGTCGTGAAACGCAAAATAGTGTTTATCCTACCAATAAGTAATAAATAGCTAATTTGGAACTTATGTAGAATTTTTTCGTACATTGTGAAACAGACCCTAAGTAAATTACATATACAAATATATATTTGAAATGAAAGCTAATATCCGATTTGACGATTCTAACATTGTTGTAATGTATTAAATATAAATAGATAAAATAACTAAATGACCATTACAGTAATTTATCTAAGTAGACTGAAGACCATAAGCGTTTTACGATTGTTTCACAGTTTAAACATAATTGGGTTTATGAAAAAAAAAAATTTTTTTTAAAAGTCAGTATTTATGATAAGATTGATAAGCACGCAGTGTTTTTGTACCTAAATAAATTTATTTGTATCGCATTATGAGGAAAAAAGTAATGTCATGCTGATGTATATTCCCTATGATGTATATATCTAATTAGCTGCAGTACTTGTTTTGTTAAACATTTAGTTTATTTGTAGTGAAAATATAAAATTCAATATTTGTATTAAAACTTGTTGATAAAGTTAAAATAATAAGATTTATCTACTATGGCTAATATAGGAAAAAAAATATATAATTTTTATATTTACGATATTTTGGGGTATTTTGAGTTTAGAGTGTGATTATAAATAAATTATTAAAATATAGACGGAGATGAGAAACAAGACGGCAATGCCCTTCCGACTACCGACTTCGTAGATATTGAGTTTATAATTTACTATAGATTATTGACTTTGATTCATTGAAGATTTCAGTGTACCTACAAATAATTGCACATTGTTCAATAATATTCAATTAATTATTTATGCATGTCTAACAAAAACATAATCCCCAATATAATATCATATTTTACAATAAATAAGAATAGGTACCATATTACTAGCAGATATTTATTATAATTAAATTTTTCCTCACTATGTTCATGAATTGTATTATTCTCCTCTGCTTTTTGTTGTTTAAAAAAACATAGGTATTTTTAAATTTATAATGTGTAAATAATAAGCCATTTAAAAATATTATAATAACAGTATATATTTAGTTAGGATGACTCCATCAAGATAGAAAAAGATGTCTTCAGGCAATGTTCAATTGGTTATAAACATTTATTCATATAGTCTCAATTTAGCGATTATGTCAGGTTAAGCTGTAAAGTAAAAAAAAAATTTTATTATAGTTACTTATGATTTTAGAGTAATAAGTTGATTTGTAATATCTTTTGCAAAGGGTTTTATATCAGTAATTCACTTCGTTATAGGTATTTATTTTTAATAAACAAATTTGTGAACAATACTTACCCCATACCATTATTTTATAAGTTAAACAATTTGTAAATATATTTATAAAACCGAAATTTTTTAAACACTAAAATCCAAAATATTGAAAGCTCCTATCAAATTTTGAAAGAAACGATTAAAAATAATAAGTGTCAACTGTCATAGCACCAGAGAACTTTCCGTTTAAAATATATCAAAAGAATAGTTTTATATAAAATAAATATATATATTAAGACATAATAGCTTATTGTGATTCATGAATTATTTAAAATAATTTTATATTTTATTTATTTTCATAGAAACATCTGTCGAAGTAAGTTTGACAGTTAAATTTCTAAACGTACTCAGAAACCACAAACAAAATTATCGTTCTTTCATTCGGTCTTGCAATGCTAATACGTTTCAGCTTATAGGCTGTCATGGTACGAAAAAATGCTATTGACTTTAGGTACCTAAACTCCGCTGCATCTCAACTGGATTGTTTTAAGAAAGTTCATGGTAGGCCCCCAGAAGTAGTGAACCTCCTGCCACTAAGACTAACGGACAAATCAAATCCTGTTTACTTTAGTCGGAATCCCTGCAGTGATCGACATGCATATGTTCTTTTGGTAGTACGAAATGACACTTTTAATATAAAGAAACTATAATCTGTATCCAACAATTACTAAGTAAATTCCAAACAAATTGCATCACATATTTTTCTTTAAATATATGTTAACGCTTGGTTTATTCCACTCGGAAGGCTATTTGTTTTTAATTATCATGCCTTCGATATACTTATTTAAATAGTATTATACGACCGATAGTATTATCTTATGTAATAAAATAAATAGGAATGTTCTTCGTTTGTCCCCGACGCCTGTCAAATAGTGTTAGTCAAACAGTAGTTAAAAGTACATCAGACCTCAAAAACCAAGTTCGTTAATAGCTGTTCTATTTTCCGCTAAAATGCGTTTGTTTTTTGTTTCAAAAGCTGGACTTTTTGAAGTTGGTAGGTTGGTGTATAAGTTGGAATAACTAAAAAATGTGTGCGTGTACTAGGTGTACACACGTAAGAAGTGAAACTTCTTTATGACCTTATTAGAAACTATTTCTTTAAACACAGTAAATTTTGATACACTGCCTAGCATATAATTTACAAATTAATTGCTGCAAATTGCGATTAGCAAATTTCAAGTCGAAAATGTAATCCGTTGTCAAACTTCAAAGTCAAAAACATACTATATGTCATATTTTAACGCCGATAGTCGTTTGACTTCAAAAAGCAACATGGCGCGTAACGGAAAAATGTGACGCGTAACGCAAAAATTTTACACTAAATTTTTTTCCAACCCCGATAAAGAAGTTTCACTTCAATAATTTTCAATCCGTCACAGCAATGCAGTAGGCATTGCTGTCCGTCCACCGTCGACGCCAATTATGTTAATAAAAATACCAAAAAAAAACACAAACAAAACCTTGCCGATTTAAACGAGTGACGAAGATTTTGTCGTCTATTCTAAACCCTTGATTTGGGAACTGGCAGTAAATGTAAATTTAGAACTAGTACTTGTACAGTTGTACAGTGTACAGTACGAACCTATATGAATAAGTTTTATTTTGTTTCCGATTTTTGTGATTTTGAAGGCTGATCACATTCTTAAAAAGTCTGTAATATATATTTAAGACAGGTTTTTCACCTACCCTCAAAATGATTATTTTTGAAGTTATACGTTAGGCGCGTTATGAAAAATTGTTGAGAGTGAAATTTTACGATGCGCGCCCACCGTGACACAAAATTAACAGAATGAAGTTGCCCACGGAAGATGCTACGGCATTGGACATAATTTAAAAACAACATTCGGATAATAATAGAATTTATGTTACACTTAATTTAAGAGAATAATAATAAATATTTATTTATTAAATTTTTCAAACGTAAACTGAACTTTATTGACTATAATGACTCCTTTTCCAGTCTTTGATTATTTAATTGTAATTAATTATTGGCATGCAATCAAAAACTATTTTTAATAATGCCAAAGAAGTATAACTTCTCACGCGCGTACATATTAGTACACGCTCCCTTTTTTTACTACTGTCGATCCGCGCAAATAAGAAGTAAAAGTCAAAATAATATAAATAGACCATTTATTCGATCATTTATTCTGTACAATATATTGCCTCTAGATATTATAACAAAAGTCACAATAATACACATAATATTCGTACAGTCATAGGCGCCCAATCATAGATAAATATCAAAATTTAGCGTTTTATAAACGTAAAACAAACTATTCAAAAGCTAAAAGCTATTTTCTCACATTTTTTTACAATACACGAGACTAGTTCAAAATATGTTTTGGAATCAGTAGGCTAACCCCGTAATAACAGCAATTTGAAATTCAATATTTTCGTAACATGTTATAATTGTTGAGTCTTATCATCGGAAATTGAAAACTTTTACAGTACAAGGGATGGAGCCACTTTGATATTTAAACTTACTTTATTTAGTAGAAGAGTAAACTACTTGGTTGTATTACAAAAGAGAACTGCAAAAAGCTGGTAAAATTGTTCTATTCAATCAATTCCTAAATATAAATATATCAGTGATGTTTTCTTGTTTGACAGTTTCGATGCTGAAAAATAACATTTCTTGGTGCTTCTTTCTTTTTTGTCAATTCACTATAACATCAGTTAGGATAAATCGCAAGTCTACTCCCTCAGTAACCATAGCAACGCTTTAAATTTTTTATCAACTCAACAATCAAGAATTGACAAAAGTTTAAATAGAACAAAATCAGCTCATTTCTTATTAAATATAAAATTCTGCGTTTTGCGATACATTTTCAATAATAATAGAATTCACATACATTAGGCGCCCACATAATTCACATTTGATATTATATACAAAGCAAACGCACATACAATTTCATATCTACCCTCTTTAACATGTTCCTAGCCAATGTTTATTATCTAATTTAAAATAAATAATAATTAAACAGGATTTTAAGGTTGTCCCAAGCTTAGAAGGCTGAATTTAGATTCATCAAGTCTCAAACCACATACATGTTCAGCTCTCGCTAGAAAGATGATCTTAAAATGCTCCCTTGTTGTAAATAATATTTTTTTTTAAATTAAATTCTTTATACTTGATTAAGATTTATTATATTATTTATAAATTAGTTGTAGGAAAGGTCTTGCAGTAAAAAATTATTATGAAATATTGAAATAAAGTAATGATTAAAATTATTGTACACAAATCTTAATTCAAAAACTTCATACAAAATTTCATACTTTTTATACTTCATATAAAGATGGGACAACCTTAATAAAAAAGTTCCAAAATACATTAATCCACCAAAGCTACATAGTCTTATCGAGACCAACAGAGGGCAGTGTCACAAAGCTTGCCTAGAATTTTAGGTAGATTGTTTTCGTCAATTTGATTACTAAGACTCATTTAAAAATGTATAGGAAATATTACGAAAAGCGTGCGTAGTAACAAAAACTCTTAAATTTCAATGGATTTTATTTATAAACTTTACTACATTCCTTCTAGGTTTCAAGTGCTTTTTGGGTACAAGAGATTCAAGTTGTATTGTATTGTTCATGGTATTTAAAAATTTGAGTGTCCAACCTGCATTGTTCTTATGTTATAAAATTCTTGAGCAAGAGCAAGAAGAGTTTCACCATATTTTAAAGCTACTCATTCCCCTTGTAATTTAAAGAATTTGTCAGATAACAATCATAATTTATAATTATTGCATTGAAAAATTGACTTAAAAACTTATAATTGTGATATTTTACTTGATTTTGTCTGGAGTAGTATCTTTTAAATGAAACAATTTAGATTATAAGATAGGAATATTCTACAATTATTAAATTTATATTTTTAAATTGTAATTTGTGAGAATTAAACGCATTTTAAAATTCTAAGTTTATTTAACAATGTGTCGTAAATTTTGTTTTGTCTTTAAATTTGCATTTGGTATAAAATACTCATTTAATAGGATTTGTTACCGACTTTGACAGACCTAATTTCAAACGCTTTCTCATTAGAGTGATTTTATTATAATACTCAATTACATTTTGTGTTTACACTGATATCAAGTGACATATAAATACTTTATTTAATTCATTAAAATGATTTAATTTTGAGTATCAATAGTGAGTTTTTGTTACTAACAAAATCCGCGAAGTGAAACTTGTTCATAGAAAGGATTAAAATGAATACTAAATGTAATTACCATTGCTTTTCGTTCTGCCCTTACACCGTTCACACTTTCACACTTTGTCACTTTACACTAAACTATACACTTTAGTTTTTTCACTTCACTTGACTTTTGACATGTTGCAAGAACTCGTAGTATGAGAAGGCTGACTCTACTCTGTCTTCTATCAGACGCTCGGTGAATTTCGTCCGAGTTGGCGAGTTATCTCTGTAAAAAAAATTATTACAAAATTGGTTATATCATAAATTTAACTAATTTAGTAATAATACTCGCGGCGCTCCAACCCTTCATGGATCTTGGCCACAGATTGTATCCGTTTCTTTGATCATTTTTATTTCATAGACAAGCAGGTGATCAGCTTTCTGTCTGACCATGTTTTTTTACAGATATCAGACATGTACATTAGACAGAAAGTCCATTGGTGCACAGTCGGGGATGAAAGTCGTGAAGCCTTTACTTAAGTCGAAATATTTGTTTTGACTTTTCATGTATTGGAAAGTGATACCCGAGTTCATGATGAAACATTCAACATATTTTATTAGACTTATAAAAATAAATTTTACATAAAAATTATAACTAACAGAAACAAAAAACTTGATTTGATTTAAAAAAAAATCAAACTTTTGTTAAAATACAATTTAATCTAATAAAGATTTCTTAGTGTAAAATTCCATCCATTTATAATAATTTCATTTCACCAAATTTTTGTCGACATGTCTTAGACCAAAAAAGTCGACGGCGTGTGTCAGGCACAGAAGGCTAATCACCTACTTGCCTATTAGATTGACAAATGATCATGAAACAGATTCAGAAATCAGAGGCCCAGACCTAAAAAGGTTGTAGCGCCATTGATTTATTTTATTTTTCTAACAAGGTAGAAGTGAAATAAAAAAAAACTAAATTAATTAAAATTCTATATAAATGATACGTTTTTATCTTTACCTGAGTATAATTAAATTGGATGGGTAAGGTCTGTCATCGTTGAGTTTGTCTATGAAGGCGTGTAAAAGAGCATTGCTTTTATTGTCTAAATGAGGCAAAGTGGTGGCTTCATCCGGCAGTTGAGAGAATGCCGCTACTCCGAAGATCTCAGAGAGGAAGGCGGGGCTGACCGCGTTACAAACGTAGATCACCATTGTTTCTCCGTCGTCTAGGAGATATGCGCCATTTAAGTTAATTCTGCAAAGTAAAAATATATTTTAAGATTTTTTTTAAATATTGACAAAAAAAATTTAATGCTAAGATTTTTACACTGGGATTAGAAAAAACATTTGCCAGGTCAAATACATTTAAAATTATAGTTTCTATCCATATATATAAATGAATTGCTGTTCAATTGCCTAGTTAAAACTCGAAATCTTGAAATATTTTTTAGTTCAGGGAAGATTTAAACGAAGGAAAACATAAATAATAAGTAAAATACAACAAAAATATAATTGTATTTTCAAATAAAAATCTGTTACTATCTAATATTTAATGTCTTTTTAGAAATAAAAAATTGTCACTTGGTTGTCACACATTTATAACCTTCAGAAATTTGTTTCATAGCATGAGTTCCGATTCTTTAATCTATTAAAAAATATATTTTTAAATACAAATATATGTAAATATGCAGTTCAAAACTGCTTTTTGTGTGTGTGTGTGTGATTAAAACTTAAACTTTTGACGACTCATTGGTCTAGTGGTTAGTACCCCTGACTGCGAATCCATGGGTCCCGGGTTCGATCCCCGGCTGAGACGAACATCGATGTGATGAGCATTTGGTGTTGTGCTTAGGTCTTGGGTGTTTAAATATGTATTTATATGTCTATCTATCTATAATAGTATGTATATCCGTTGCCTAGTACCCATAACACAAGCTTTACCAGCTTAGCATGGGACTAGGTCAATTGGTGTGAATTGTCTTTAAACCAAACAAACAAACAAAAACAAACTTGCCCATGTTCATCCTCTAGATTATACTTTACAAAAAATTTATTTGTTCGGATAAAATAATCCATCATTATGTTAGTATAAACTTACGGACTAGTGTTAGTATATTATTATTAAAAAGCTAAACATAAAAACCCATCAAAATGTAAGACGCCAATTTAATTTATATAAAAACTAGCCGTTTCGCGCCCGCTTTGCTGGACGAATTAAAATAAATTTTATGTTTCATTATTTTATTTTTTTTCATATTTTTATTATTCTTCTTTTTAACTTCCCGCTAAGAAAATTGAAATATTTCGAAAATCGAGTTTTTAACAGATGTTGCACCTTTAGAGGTTCTAGGAAGCCTCCGGTTCCGGTGAAGTTTTTCCGCGGTGAAGTCCGTATGGGATAAAATTTTCATAAAGTAAAACAGACAACAATAAAAAATGAAGGAACGTTGGAATTTAATAAATAAACCATCTAGGAAAAATTTCGCATCGAATGGTGGTATTCATGTCGATACGATCAGTGGTTTAGGCGTGAAGGAGCCTCAAACGAAGACCATTTTTCTTTTATATATATAGATTGCACATGAGCGTCCCAAATATTTTTGATGTACTCAAGCCATAAATACTTGTTTAAAAAGCACAAGAAATAAATCGTTTTGGAGAGTGCTAAAAAAATTTAATTAATTTGTTTAATTATTTCAGTTTTACTTTGACTATCTACAGTACCAGTATAATACCCGAAACTTAACTAATTTGAGTGTACGACCAACCAGGCTCCGAAAGATAAACCACTTTTTATATGGAAATTGTAATCGTTCTTACAACAAACTCTTGGCTTGGCCAAATTAGAGAATTATCACTAAACAAACTCAAAACTCTCGTTAACGTAAATTAATCAATAAAGCTCTTTATAAATTTGACGATTAGTTAAATGATCTTAATCCTTGGGTCTGAATTGCCCCAGTTCAAACAATTTGTACAACTCAAAACTTAGCGATTAAAAAGAGTGGCGGAGAATTTCTTGCCAGTTCTTCTTAACCGCTCTACGCCCTTAACTTACGAACGTAAATTTACAATTAATTTAACTTATTTTCTGACGTTCAAGTGTACTTGTTTACCTATATGAATAAAGTTATTTTGAGTTTGAGTTTACCCCTACAATAAAACAAAACACTGCGATGACGTCATGACCCTGCAACTCAACATGAAACTTCTCGACCTTCAGTTTAGTCATTTTTATCCTACTAACCTCTCCGAAGTAAGCTGCAATCTTGGAGGGTCAGGATTAACTTCCTCTTCTTCTACTTCATCTTTATGCGTGTGCTGTTCCAACGTATGTATCGGGTATAAATCCGGGTAAACCGTCCGTAATAACAGGGCGAGAGGCTGACATTTGAGATCGCACATGGCGGCAACGCGCTCGTCTAACCGCGTAGACGTGCCCGTACGTAATGCTTTCTGGAATGTAAAAAATAATAAGGAAATTATAAAAAATTACTAAAACATTATAAATTATTTTTTATAGCCTAATAGGCCATTTACAAACCGAGTCACATTTGAAATTTGAAAAAAATTTAGTAATTTGTAATGGATTTTAATGATGGGTGGTGATAGCTTTGTTTATTAATTAATATTAAAAATAATCGTCGAAATAAATTATACGCAAAAAACAACCCTTACCGTTTTCATCAAGGCCAATAAATACATAGGCAGCAACCGCAACGACATAGGTGCCATAAGTGAGCTGGAAGCCGGTCCCGCTGGAAGGTTTTGAGACAGCTTATGAGCCGACAACACATCGATCGCCACATTTATGAGGGCCTCCTTCGCTTCAGACATCGAGGCTGTCACGCAACGATCCACGGCTGAAATATGTAATATAAAAATAAAGTTCGATATTTCTTGTATATGAAATATTATATTATGTATATATTATATTTATTACGATCTAAAATTCGTATTAGGGAGCGTTCAAGTATTACGTAACGCAATACTTGAACGCGTTACGTAATACTTTTACTTTTATAAAACGTTACGATGCGGGGCGGGGATTGAATTACATTTCATTGTTAATATTATTTTCTACTTTCCAGTACTTTACACCACATAATGGTAACTTTTAGGTATAAAGAGTCACTAGGCGGTCACGAAACGTTTCACTATACTTGGGTAGAGAAAAACGTTACGGCGCGTTATATGGGGGAGTCAATAATATCCAAAAATTGCGTGACGTAATACTTGAAAGCAGAAAATAAATAAATAAAAATATATTATCTAAAGTCCATATTCTAATTCGTATGTCTAAATCTTCAAACAAAAAAAATCTCATGAAACTAGATTTAAGTTTGTCTGACATTTATGTCTAAATCATTTCCATTATTTTTGCTTGAAGACATTTTTAATGCAATTCTTGCAATAAAAACTTTTTATTAATTTCAATGTAAATATTTAATAAAGCGTTAAACTGTACAAAGTACTAAAAGAAATACTCGTTTTTGAAATAGAGTAAACAATGATTAAAAACAAGTTTTTCAAAAAATAAAATAACATATCTCCTATATATTATGTATTTTTGCAATAGTCTCACCCATTTTGCTGAGAAGTCCCACAATACAGGTCTGGTCTGCGGCGTGGAGTACGTCACTGAGAGTGGTCGCTATTGGTAGAGCCATCGTGTGAACTCGTATTCTTCTTTCACCTGGAAAATGATCAGTTAACATTAATAATAAATCGTTTATTTGCAAAGAAAGTGATACATTCAGATTGTTAATTGTAAAATCAGCCATACAAAAATATGCATGCAAATGTCATATTAATTATCATTATGTCATAATAATAATAACAGCTAAGTAATTTATAATTGATGTCAAAACTTAAGGGCCGATTTACATTATCTTAGTGTTTAGGAGAGTATTTTAGTACAAGTTGAAAGGCAAGTTCTTTAGTGCTTTAGTGCGTTGCGAGTGAACGTTTACATTTCTTCCAGTAGAGTATCATTACAGCGCCACAATGAACGCGCAACGACGTCGGCAAATACGCTCTATTCGATGCAAAATACTAACTGTAGTTATGGAATAGAAGACGAGATTTTATTCGAAATAAATAAACTAAATATAAATAATAAATAAAATAGCTTCTTTTAAGGCAGTGTATGCCGAATGCCTAGCCTGTTTGTTTTTGTATAAATTGTTTTTAACGTTCCACAAACATTCGTAAATAACATATTCAGAGACAAATTAGATAGTTGTATCTTCCAACAATTTAGCCATCTTTAATAATCATAAAACACGCACGCGTTTCACGGCACTTGTGCACTCTCCTAAAGATTTTACTAAATTACGTGTTTACACACGACGAGGGAAGATTTCTGGGGATGCGCGGGCGCGGGAGGGGTATCACTTGAAACAAAAATAAAAAGCGATTCTATTTTGATTCAACTTGAAAGTCAAGTAGAACCGTACTAAAGCAAGTAGCGTTTACATGTTTCAACTAAAGTACTATCCTAAGCACTCTGCTAAACACTAAGATAATGTAAATCGGCCCTAAGATCTAAATACTCTGCCACGCTAAATAGCACACAAAAAATATTTTATGTTTGACATTGGTTTAGAGCAGTGTTGGCCTAATGGCTTCAGCGTGCGACTCTCATCTCTGATGTCGTAGGTTTGATCCCTTGCTGTGCACCAATGGACTTTCTTTCTATGTGCGCATTTAACATTTGCTCGAACGGTGAAGGAAAACATCGTAAGGAAACCGACATGTCTTAGACCCAAACAGTCGTCGTCGTGTGTCAGGCACTGAAGGCTGATCATCTACTTGCCTATTAGATTTAAAAATGATCATGAAACAGATTCAGAAATCTGAGGCCAAGACCTAATTTTTTTTAAATATACATATTATAAAACATGTTTTAAATTGGTGGAGTTATACATTCATTTAAAGCCGCCTGTCAATATAAAAAATAACAGTTCGTAATAATTATAAATAGCACACCTTTACTGCTAGTATAGAGCAAGGCAGCCTGGAAGCAGACCTGCTGCAGGTCGGACAGGGACTCCTCGATGGTCAGCTGCATCCCGAAACCAGCATCCGGGGACACGTTGGGCAACGAGAGCAGATCCGTCGAACGCACGAAGAAGTTTCCGTGGAATGTGTGTATCGTTATACCCCTGAAGGGATTGTTTTTCATTATTATATATTACTTTTTTCTAGCATTATAAAAGTCTTGAAAATATAATAGTCCGGTCAATCTAGACCAAAAAATGAGAGTGAAGGTACATAAAGTCACAACAAGCTGGAAATCAGTAAAATTGTTCAAAACATAATTATAAATAATATTTAAAAGTAATTTTTTTATTCTATGTCAAAGGTTTTTCGCGATTTTCAGCAAAACGGTAAGTTTTAACATAAAAATACCTTAGACAAAAATATAGATCATAAAATTATCTATAAAAAATGTATCAATACTTCTTTTCCTACGAGTCACCTAAATTGACCGGACTATAAATTTAATAAAACAAATTTTGACCGGATTGAAGTTATTTTTTTTGTACCCCCCCCCCGTAAAAGCACGCGAAACGTCGGATAAATTAAAATTATGTTAAATAGTTGTAAATTTATAATAATACATAACTTCAATCCGGTCAAAATAGTGTTTTATTAAATGAATAAAAGTTATGTTAATCAAAGACAATACTACGGACTATAAATGTTTAAAACATATATTTAGGAAATTAAAAAAAGCATTATTAGTCAAATAAAATTGTAATTTACTTTAATGTTTTTCTTTCTTTCAAGGGTCGGTCACTATTTGTTGTTAAGAAGTTTTTTTATAGTTTGTAAAGATACCTTCTCATCTGTATTTCTCTACTCTAAGAAACAAAGACTTTCTGTGTCACTCACCTAGAACACCGTACCCTCATAACAGCTTCGAAGCCGATCTTCCTTGTAAGATATCTCGTGAACATATTCCTAAGGTGCGCAGCCTGCCTTGGCCTGGACGCGTTGAACACCGGGATGTGGTAAACTGAGCCCCCGCTGAATTTGCTCATACCACCTGGAGAGGAAGAGTGAGAGGAAATTAGCGGTTTCAGCGTGCGACTCTGATCCTCTATTTTAATAAATTCGAACGTATATCGGAGACAGAAGGCTATTAGATCACGAAACAGATACAGAAATCTGAGGTCCAGAAATCTGAGGCCCAGAAATCTGAGGCCCAGAAATCTGAGGCCCAGAACCTGGAAAGGTTGTAACCACCTTTTTTATCTGAAATTTTGCAATTTAAGCTGAAAATGTTCAATTAGGCTTCAGATCGAATGGTTTTAATAATTTGGTTTATAATCAAAAATATATACAACGAGATAATAAACAATTGGAAACATTTTTTCTTCTTTTTCAATTCCTAAATTAACATGTCAATTGGCAACACAACAAAAATTAAAAGATTTTACTTTTTCATACATTGATAAATAAAAATATAAAATTCTCGGTTCAGAGATTGTACAATCACATCACTTATATTTTTTATAGATAACAGGTGTATCACTTTTAAGAACCCAAAAATAAGTTAAGTTTTTTGTTAGTTCAGCAACCCCAAATTCTATGTAAGCTCATGTTTTGAACCATTAGTTGACACTTCAAACAAACAGTTTCAATTATATGACCATTTCAAGAAATTATCAACCCAACCTATTTAAAAATGTTATAAATATATGCAATATACTATTAGGTACGCGACTTCCCCCGTGTATACTTACTGAGTGTTGCCAAATCACAATACTGCGAGCTCAGAAGGAACAGATCCACTGCAATCTGCGCCCCGCTGCAATCCAACGCGAGCCGCTTGTAGAAATCTGTGGCTGGATTCAAATGTGCAACTTCTTTTGATGACCGAGCGTTGGGGTCCTCTCTGATGATTAATGTCATTTTTTTTTAAATTTTCACATTAAGTATAAAGATGACTGTCGTACTACAATGACGTCAAAGTTAAGAACAATATAATAACATAACAGCTATTTATTGTTGTTTGATGATTTTCTATTTTCAAAGAGTACCGAGAGTTTTTTACGCTGCCTTTTTCTCTCGACCTACACCTCTCTTCTTTGCCGATGAGTAAGGATGTCTACCGATTCAAATTTAATGACGTGGAATAAGTGATACCTGTATCTTATGTTCCATATGATATCCATTTTTTTTTATCAGTGACATAAAGTCACCAGGCCGCTCCTGGCCCACGACAGATACGAATGGAACCTGATGGATTGCCTATGTCCAACGGTGAACAAACCAAAACCTGAGCAAGCATATGATGGTTCCTAAATGTTATTGAAATGGAACTTCTTTAGGCGTATGCGCATGAGGGTAAATTTTTTACGGATGAAAAGCGACGAAGATATGCAGCGTTTTTGTCGAAAAAAGGGAGAGAGAGATTGAGAGAGTGTGAGAAAGGCGTTTTATCTTATAGAAATTCTATTTTTAAAATTAAAATTTCGTTAAGAGAATTTATGAAATATTAGTATTTTATATTCTATGCAAAATAATTTATTGAAACCTCAAATGACGAATTGTAAATTAAAATGCCACGTGTTTTTATTATATATTTTAATAAATTTAAAAAATTAAATTTATATTTTGTATTAATTTTCGACACTTAATATTTTAGTAAGAATAAAATTAATTAAATTCCAAACATATCTTCCTTTTTCCTCTCGGAATTGGAATTGGAAACTCTGAAGGCAGTTATTGCCGAGCACCACCACTATGTGGAACCAGCTGCCCACTGAAGTATTTCCAAACTAATTCGATTCAAGAAAAGAGCGTACCACGTCAAAGCCGGCAACGCACTTGCGAGCCTTCCGGCAATGTTAGTGTCCATGGGCGGCGGTATCACTTAATACAGGTGAGCCTCCTGCCCGTTCGCCTCCTATTGCATACAAAAAATGGTAGCATAGTATGTGATAATTAAAAGAAAATACAAATCTTACCTGGATTGTAAAGCTCCAGGTCCGATATTTGGTAAACATGTCTGGAACACTGTGATCCTGCCTCCGGTCGGTGACTGGAATATTATATTGAAAAATCTGAATTGAATTATGCTATTCGGTTTATTTTAAACAGCATGGTCTAACCCATGTGAGCCACCAGCACCACGATTGTGCTAGACTTAATCAAATATATAGTTTAAATACTTCTATACAAAGCGGCAAAAATATATCGAAAGGAAAAGTGAATACAGCTACTTCGTACCAAAAGTCAAAATCATTAATTCATTTATACATTCCATGTACACTTATGAACGTCAAAAAAGAAATGCATAATTCGTTGTGATCGTAAAACATTGTGAAAAAAACCCAAAATCCACTTTTTATCATATTTGGATAGTACTTTAACTAAATATTACGACTACATTAAAAAAAAAAACATGTTTTAAACTTCAAATTAATCAGTAGGTAAAGTGACGGATTTGATAGAAACGGGATTTTTCTAGAAAGCTGTGTAATTGAATGTTATTATTTTATTATTTTATTTTGTTTCAAAACAAACCCTTTTGTTTGCTTGTGTTGTTTCATAATAACAGAATATGAATTAAAATAGTTATGACACACACTAACATGATTATATTATTTTAAAATGGCCGCCCTGTAAAGTTTACTATTTCGTCACTATTCTACGACTATGACGATTTAATGCTTCTAATTTTACATTTACTGCCAGTTCTCAAATCAAGGGCGTAGAACGGAAGAGAAGAACTGGCAATAAACTCTCCGCCACCAATTCTATTCGCAATAAAAATAAATCTCACCATAAGTTTATAAGCAGCCTGCAATGCAGCACCGAGGGCGGAAGCAGGTGACCCAGGCACGGAGTGTCTCCTGGGGATCTGAGTGAGCAGCTCGCGCACCATATCCCGCTGCTCGCCCACGTTCACCAACAACGACTCGGGTGATGGGAGGAACACATCTGCAAGGCACATTCATTTTAACTGAAACCGTTCTTAACCAACATTTAAAAAAGGATGATATGTAATATCAGCTTAGGGAGCGTTTAAGTATTACGTAACGAATTTGGGGGGACAGCCTTGCGATTCTGTAACTCACTTTTCGAACTCCAAATCATAAAATGACTGCTTCACGACTGATTTGAGAGCGACCGCCGATGCGAAAACCGCTGTGTGAGTTCGAAAAGTGAGTTACAGAATCGCAGGGCAGGGGTCTTGTAAAATGCTACGAAGCATTATTGGGGAAGGGGGGTTAGAACTTGTAATAAAGGTATTTCAGCGACTTTCTGGTACTTTTTACACTACATAATTGTGACTTTTAGGTAAAAATAGTCACGTGATGGTAACGTTTTTTTGGGGGGGAGGGGGGGAGAAAAAATTCCGTTACGAAATACATGAACACTCCCTAAATCGGTTCAGTTTCAGCATCATCGAGCCTTGGCCTGGTCTAGTAAGAACCTCATCCATTTCTGTTTTGTGCTTTTTGTCTCCAGTCTCCTTTTCACCATAAATCCGTTCAGAGGTTTTTAAGACGCTTCTAATCTTATCAAGACTAGATTTCGATTGGTTCCTGAATTCGGAATGGATAAACTTTACCATCAATATCCAAAACGGTCAACTCTTGGGGTCTAGTGAGTCCGTCGCTGATCACGTAATAGTGTATGTGCGCGTCGTAGCATATGAAGCCGATCTGCGTACGCGCATCACCGGGCAACTGTTCCAGATGCTCTTTAATTATTCCACAGACCAGCTGCAAACGTAAAATATTATATTAAACTCAGTCCAATTAAAAAAAAAATAACATTAATTTGAGGAATTACATACGAGAATGATATTTATAAATCTTAGAAAAATGTGTGTGTTCAGTGATCAGTTCTATTTACTAATAGGCAAGTAGGCGATCAGCCTTCTGTGCCTGACACGCGTCTGTTTTTCTTCAACGTAGAATTTAGCGAAAAAGTCCATTGGCAGTACGAGCGAGTGTTTAAGCAGTGATGCCAACTGGGGAATTTTCCCCAAATTTTGGGAGAACCAAGATGTCCAGGGGGGTTTTTATTTATTTACATTTCGTTAAGGGTGATTAGCGCTAAGTCCGACTCCCATACGTCAAAAATTTATTTATCATACGGGATACGAGCAACATTTCTGAATATTAACCAAAACTCGTTTTTTTTTTAATTATCTCACTTCTAAATATCCAGACTCCCTGGCGATCTGCGAGACGTCAAGCAGGAACAGATAAACAGCCGGCTGCGGGGGACGCAGCATGTATTCGCTGGGTGCAATGAACTCTATAGTTGCAGATTTGATTTCGGGCCGACGAGTTGGATCTCCATACGACTTGCTCACTGGGTCGTATTGGAACTCTTCCGGCACTGTCAAAATAAAAATAAAATAAATCAATGGCGCCACAACCTTTTTAGGTCTGGGCCTCAGATTTCTATTCATTTGTCGATCTTACAGGCAAGTAGGCTATCAGTCTCTTGTGATACACGCCGTCGACTTTTTGGGTCTAAGACATGCCGGTTTCCTCACGATGTTTTCCTTCACCGTTCGAGCAAATGTTAAATGCGCACATAGAAAGAAAGTCCATTGGTGCACAGCCGGGGATCGAACCTACGAGCTCAGGGATGAGAGTCACACGCTGAAGCCACTAGGCCAACACTGCTCTAAATAGATAAAAGCATCTTAATAATGCATTATCTCTTTTGTCACAGAAATCTCAGTCAATTGCACTTTACAGTGGTGTCAAAAAGTAAACCTTTTTATTAGATACGCTATAGGTTCGCTATTTCAAAAAAAATCCTGCCGAATCCAAAGACAAAATTCGGCTAGTCGATGGCAACACTTAGGATCAATCAATCTGATTGACAGCTACTTATAAAAAGCATTTAATATGATTTAAATCTATGTCCATGGGCTGCCTTTTATTTCCTCTGTCATATAAAAACTGATCATGCGTTAAAAAGCCTAAATTTATAATACTCAGTCAATGTTCTGACTGCAAACTGCATTTTGCTAAATATTTTTCCTGTATTATAAATAACATACTCACAATCATTGACCCGATAACACAGATTGCATTTCCACCGCTTTCCATCGACAAAGTATACAAACGGATTGATGTAAGTGCGACACGCGCGGCAACGCACTATCGTCGTACATTGTATGACTGGTAAGTACTGTAAAAAAATGATTACTATACATAAACATTTAATAATAATCATAGGTTATCTATCTACCGAGGGATCCAACACGGCTGTGTGTACCAGCCAGGGATATCTATTTAATCCCAGATTATTGCCGTGTAGTCAAGGGGAAGGTGACTAAAGTTTTAAAGGCAAGGTCCCTTTATAGTGTGGGAGAGGATTTAGACTATAAATTTTTACAACAATTTCAAATAATTTAACTGTTCTTATTATGATAATTAATAAAACATTTGCATGCCTTTCTTATATGGCTGATTGTGTGTTCTTATAATTAATCAATCTGAATTTACTACTTTCTTTGCAATAAACGATGTATTATTATTACTGGCAACACCTTACTTCATATAGGTACAGTTTTATTAATTTCTAGTAAAATCGCAATTATTATTATTGTTTGATATACTTGATAATGTTATAAACGTTACCAGCCATTAAAACCATAGACATAAGACACAAAAACACATTATTCATTCAATTATGCATCTGTTTTTTTTTTAAATAAAAAGAATTTAAAAAAACAATAGTTGTCAGCTCTCAATTAACCTAAGATTTGGGTTGCCAGTGTAAACATATTTTTTGGGATTTGCAGTCATCTGTTTTATTTTAAATTGTAAAATACATAAAAGTTTTATAATGCATTATCAGTAAAATGGACACAAGCAGAGATTGCTTTGCTATAAAAAAAACGGTAGCGGCTACAGGTAGGTGTGAGAAAGATGGATGTATACGCGAAAAACGCAACTGTAACCGCAATTGTAGTTGATTTATCGGATACAATTTTCATTCATAATTGCCCAACATTTTTTTAATATATTAATTTGATTTGTCATCTAAAATAGTTTTATTTTCATTTACAGAACACAAATCTTGTCGAATCCTAACTCTGTATAAATAGGTTTACAATATTTAATCAGTTTTATAATTATTCATGGTTATTAACATTTAGTTATAGTTGTATACTTTGTCTCTTTCTAATATGTAAGAATAAATGAGTAGAAAACTTCCGTTTTAACATTTAAATAAACGCATTATGACTCTTGATACGTAATTCCCTTCAAGGTAAATACATTTCTCAACTAAAACACCTTAAGTACAAGTACTAATCACGGAACAGCAGCGTTGGCTTGTGGCTCCAGCGTGTGACTCTTATCCCTAAGGCCGTAAGTTCCAATGAACTTTCTATGTGCGCATTGAACTCTCGCTGAAGGACCCTTAAACACAAAGCCGACGGCCTAGAACTGATTACCTACGATACAGATATCTGAAGCCCAGACCTAAAAGGAAGGTTAGAAGGGCCAGTGTTCATTTGACATTTTTCCGAGACATTAAGTTTTAAATCGTTAGAGAAATATTACGGCACACGTTATGCTTGCGGCTCACTAGGCATTATTTGGAGAAGAACGTAACGTCAGGTATCCCTTAAAGCGTCTACACACGACCCTACAATCAGAGGCAATATCGGGGTTGTGGAGAGCATGCCTCCTGCTGATAGAGGACAAATCTTTGTTTTAAATTTATTTTATCATTATTAATTACTTAAGATGTCATGTGGAACATGGTGTAATGGTTGCAGCTAACAAACGTTGTGTAAAACAAAAAACTTGGCGATTGAAAAGAGTGGCGGATAGTTAATTGCCAGTTCTTCTCTTCCGTTCTACGCCCTTGATTTGAGAACTGGCAGTAAATATAAAATTAGAAACATTTAATGCATATTTCTTTTTTGACGTTCATAAGTGTACATTGTGTTACCTATATGAATAAATGATTTTTGACTTGACTTGACACGTGTGTAGGCAAATCGTACCCAAATTTCGTATGCTACTGCCGATTCGAACTACGAGCCGATTTCATCCCCACCACCATTATCCCGATATCGCCACTGATTTCAGAGCCGTGTATAGACGCTTTTAGTAAATTTGCAGTGGATATCATACATTATTTTGGGTCAATAATAAACTCTTTGCGTGTAATTGTATACAATGCACGTCATTATATGACAAAAACTCTGATAAGACATGTTTAACAACCGGAACACGATGATTTGTTAATACCGAAGTATTACAGTATCACATGGACAAGACATTATTCGTAGGACAATCTATTTCTTATCTATGGTTTAGTTACACTATTTCTTTTATTTACTACTGTAATCGCTAGTCTGTTTATGACACAGATAACGAAACACAATAGATTTTTAAAGATTTTATGGCCTGGTAACGAACACTAGATTAACTAAAAGACCTAGTTAAAACCGTGTTATTATGTTTAAGCTATGAAATAAGTAAACGCGATGTTTGATGATGCCACCATTTTAAACCGCTTACTAAATCTAACTTTTTTATACCAATTCTAACTTGAATGCAAAATTCCCAAATAAAAAAACGGATGACCTTAAAACGTTTAAACCTTAGATATTAAATGTTTTGTTTTTATCGCTCTTGTGTCACTGTATATAAATAAACGAGACAAAAAATTCTTTAAATGTTGATATTTTATATTCCCAAATATATGCAGGCATATTTCTACGTAATACATTGATATATATTAAAGTCCGTGTTCTTCCAATACAACATTTTATCCGGGAAATCAAACTTTAGTAAATAATTTAGGAACTAATTGTTAAGTTGGAGCTACTAAGGTTGTCCTTTTCATAGGACAACAACGCTTTTATTGTGCGTACCCACAATGCCACTTGGCATTGCGAGTACGTTACCAGTCTTTTAATCAAAATATTTACTTACATTCAAATCCTTGAAAGGGTGTATTAAAATACCCAAAGGCAGTCTAGACTTCTGTAGTAATGTATTCGTGTCAGGTATCTTGTTAATTGTACACCGGAATATTCTGTAACATTAAAATAATAATCTATACTAATATAAAAGAAAAGATTTTTATACAAAAGTTATATACATTAGCTCCGAGTAACGTATGCTTTATTTATTAATATTTTAAGCTATTGCATAGATTTTATCGCGGGCCTTGAGCGCGCCGACCGAATCAAGAAATTCCGTAACGAAAAAAACCTAACACACGATAACGTAATATAGGTGCGGCAAATACGCGTTAGAGTGGGACAGAACGCATACTGCGCATTCCCATCTCTCTGACGATATCGGTGACGTAGCGTGAGCGCGGCCGGTACAGCCGGTACGCGTTAGAGTGAGACAGACTATATAGGCGTTTCAGTCTGAGTCTGGTATAGTGGTAGATTTAATTAATAATATAAAGAAAAAACTTGAATTAATATCAGAAAAACAAATACTGCATAAATAAAAATAAAAAATTATTATAACTGTATAAGTTGATAAAAAATGCTATGCAATAGCTTTACCGCGGCAATCCCCGAGTACCTACCACACTTTTTTTTTAAATAAATGAACAGTCTTGTAAGCTATTATTTATAGTATTGTATGTGTGTTAAATATAAAACATGCAGGAAAGTAATGTTAATACCTTGAAAGTTCAATGTTAAAGGAATTTTAATCTGAAATAGCCTGCTGACAATATTATTTCTTGTGCAAAATTCGAGATGAAATTTTTGGAATGGCCCCTATTCATAAACATAAGTGTGTGAACAGGGGCAATGCATAGTCATTCTTTGATTTATAGATGTGACTCTAAGCATGGAACATAAATGTTTGAAGTTTATTTCCATTGCATTTGTTTGACTCATCATTTTGATATAGTCAGTGTGTTATCAACCTTCTTGTGTTATCAACAACAAATTTTCAACGATTGACCACAAGGCTAGTCTGAAGTCAAATCTAAGTAAGTAAAGCACAGAGATGGTTTTACAAACTATTTTTTTTAATATAAAATAGGCGGGCAAACGAGCTTGCGGGACGACTAAAAAGGGCAGTCTCCGCAGCCCATAGGCACCCATTTTAATGGGTGCGTTGCCGGTGAAATTTAGAGCTCGTACGGTGTTGGAAAGAGGCAGGAGGGATCAACCCAAATAATTCTTCCGAACACTCTCCGTAGTATACTTTGTAGAAAACGCAAAGAGACGTTTCTTTCTCTTCTTACAATATCTGTATTAAAAATACCATCTAATCATACAATATCTTCAATATGTCCTCAAATGAAATGAATATTTTATGATAAAACGCTACAACATTGTATAGATTCAGAGATAGCCTTTGCTTACTATAGTAGGTGATTTTTATCACAGAGTTAAGATAAAAGTTCTATTGTGTAATGGAATATGACAAGCATATTTTAGTTACTCTGGCCCCGTTATATAGAAAAACAATTTTGATTAAAGTTTTAATTAAAACACCTGTGTCTCTTTCATAACCTGAAAACAGTTTGATATAAAGACATGCACTATTGTTAAAACATTGTAATGTGGTTTAGGTAAATTATGAATCAGTACATAATATGTATGGACAATCTTCTATAACTACACAATGTAATGGACAATATTCATTAAACGCAAAACTTGCATAAAATTAATGTGATCAGCTATGAGTGATCTTGGAAAAGGATTACATATACAACATATAAAGTACAATTTATAAGTGTTTTTCATATTTTAATTTTAATTTTTTCAGTTAGGGAAAGGTTTTAGAAACCTATCACCATATTATATATTCATCATTCATTCTTCCATATAAAAAATGAGATCACTGTTAATGGCACATCCATCTATAGATGGACCCAAATTGTTGTTTTATTGAAAACAACAAGAGCAATACAACTATTCACATAATAGTTCTATTATATGGAAAACAAACAAAAGACATTCACTTATCTTTCTTGCAACACATGTATGAAAATGATAATTTATTTACAAAACATTAAATTAAGATTTATCTGTCAGTGCTTATATCAAAAAGACACTCAATTATATATTTTAAATTAATTGAAGCATGAAATGTGTATTTTTGTTGTGCTGTAGTGTACTTATAATTTCTACATAGTGGAAAGTTTATAACTGTCAGAAGAATTAAATTTATTTATAGCTATTGAGTAATTAGCATGCAATATGAAAACAGATAATACTTACTCAGGACTACAATTAGGAGCATCGGCAAAGTTAGGACCTAGTCTGATTTCCGGTGGATCTTCAGGATATTCAGAAAGAATATGCTTAGTCTGCATTAGATCCACCATTTGTTGACCCCATAGTTGGTCAAAGCCCTGCTGAGTAACATTTAATTGCCCCATTTGCTGAGTCAACCCTGGCATTTTGTTCATTTGTGGGTACATGGCTTGTTGGGGTATTTGAGGTGGCATTCCCTGGCTTGGGGGCCCTTGCTGGTAGTTACTGGGAGGCATCTGAGGATATCGGCTTTGTATATTTGGCTTTGGTGGACCTGGCATAGCTCCAGGCATAGGAGGTTGTCCAGGAATTGGTTGTTGTGATGACAATGGTGGTAAGCTTTGAGGCCCACTTAAATTATTAGAATAGCCCATAGCTTGAGTCGGTGGTCCCATAGTCATAGGCTGGTTTGTTGGTGGCCTCATGGGAGGCATTGGACCCAATGGTAGCGATGGGGGTCCACTTGTTTGATTTGGGCCAGGTAACGATGTAAGAGGTGGACCTGTAGCTGGGCCATTCATTGCATTATTTCTTGAAGGCCCTAATTGTGGTGCCATCATGTTGGGACCCAATGTTGAATTACCTGGCACCATAGGATTGCTCCTTGGAGGCCCTACCATTTGATTACCAAATGGAACTGGCTGGCTTAATGGAGGAAATGGTGGTCTTTGATTTATTGGAGGTGGGAATGATGCTGAAGATGGTGGATATTGACTAACTGGCAGCCTTGTAGGATTTGGGCCATTTGTCGGTTGATTATATTGACTAGAAGATATTAGGGGTGGAGCATTATCATTGATTTGCTGTGAATGGTGATTGGGAGGGTATGGAGAAGGATTATTAGTGTTATACATTGGATGAGGACTGGCTGAACTGGATGGAATGTTCTGGAGGTTTGGTATTGGACTTTGATTTGTTAATGGTTTGATGGGGGGCCTCATAGGCGACGATTGCATGTTCTGAGGAGGCATCATCATTGGATTGTTAAAAGCTGGTGAGCTACTTGCACTTTGGCTGTAATGGTTGGCCTGATTATTAAATGCAGGAGGTGGTACAGGCATATTCGAGTTAGCATCATGTTTTATAGATCCCGTAAATTGGTTAGGTGGCACTTGATTGAACTGATATGGCCCTAAAGTCGTATTCGGTGGCCCAGAGCTGCTATTGTAAGGTGGTATGTTAGCCATAACTTGATAATCTGAAAGTGTAAAAATAATTTAGTAAATCTTCCTGAAAGATATATTAATCCTTTGTAACAATGATTTTATTTGTATTTAGATAATGAACGTGATATTAAAGAGGATGTTTAATTAACGCTAATTCATTAGAATTGACAGAAGTGTAAGTTAGTTTTTTTACTTACCGTTGCTTGGGTAAGGTGAAGAAACACAAAAACTTTGTTCACAATTTTTGCACTTGTACCATTCTCACATATTAGCACAACACGTAAAATAAAAGCGATTAAATTGTAAAACGAAGAAAATTTCGACCCTGACTTACGTGGCCGTGCCAGAGAACACGCCCTCTAGCGGAGGTCGAAATTGATTGACTGATTGTACTTAAAATGTCAGCTGTCATTCCTTGTCGTCATAGTTGAAATCGAATCCGTTGTTTCGCTTACACACAGCCTACTCAACAGCCTATAATATTAAAGTCAATAAAATATATTATTTTACACAACTTATGTGGCAACGGTGTCATAGTTTAGTACAATTAATGTGTTTTATAATTTAAATCATAAGAGAAACGATAATCGTAAGTTAAACAACCTCACAGTACTTTTATACGTTTTTGTAGATGGCATTATAAACAATACAATTAAAATGAATATATACACAATCACAATGTTTCTGAAATATTTGTATAGATGGCACATTTTACAGTATATTTTATGAAGATATTAATGCAGCAGTCAAACAAAAAATCTCTTAACTGTATTGTATGTATATAAAAAAATACTTTCATATAAGGCTCCGAATGTATCATGTTCCAGTTCTTACCGACTATACAAATGTTTTAACTTATATACATTACATATTATTTATTATAATATATAGTATTACATTATGACAGTGACTACTAGGATAACTGGGTAACTGTCCTTTACCATAAATCGGCGATCGATAAATTGTTACTTAATTCCACAATAGAACACGAGACATTCGTGACAGGCTCGTGAAAGCCTGCTGGTCTATAGTTTCTTATTTAAAAAACAAAAATATCAATGGCCTCAAATTTCTGTATGTTTCATGATTTGTCAATACTAATAGGCAAGTAGGTGATTAGTCTCCTGTGCCTGACACACGCGTCGACTTGTCGTCGTCGGGCCTAAGTCTAATGGTGCACAGCAACTCTCATCCGTGAGGTCATAGGTTCGATCTATGACCTCACGGATGACAGTTACACGATGAAGCCACTACCACTAGGCCAACAATGCTCTTTATTCTTATTTAGCTCAAGGTAACGTATAAGTAGAATGAGTTTTGCGCCCTACTCATTGCGTTACTGGTATGTACGGACGTATAGAACTATTTCGTCAACACAATATGAGAAAAAATATTTTTACACACATTTTAAACACGAATCGGGCAAGAAATCTCGTTATAGACACAGTGGGCATAAATAAAAATCCAGATGAAATTCAAACATTTTGTATTTCAATAAAGTTTAAAATCAAAAATTTCGTCGTAAACAAAAAAAAAAATTAACAAGATCTGCGTAGTATTAGAATTGATTGGATAAAGCCACCAGGCAGGGTAAATAAATTTGACAAATTTTATCCATTTAAATCAATATCATCGAATGTATCGCTACGTGTTACTTTCTCCAATCAGTGTACGCAGGGATATCTAGCAAGTCTACACTTAACATTACCTCAACATTAGGTACATCTTTCAGCAATATAAAAGTATTCAAACTGATCACAATATTATGGCAGCCCATGGAACTCCATGTGACTCTTAACCAACAGTTTAAGTCAATAATTTATGACATTTCATACAATTATTAATAACTTATGATGTTCGTGTACTTTTATAGATCTTTGCACAATTACACTGAACTTCACACTAGGCCTTCGTCGGACACACTATGAGGCAGAACCTCATACATTACTTTCCTATAGACTTGTCTAATAAGTCTGTAATTAATAAGAACTGTCATAATTTATCCGCCAAATGCTGGAATGTCACTTATTGCCCTTAACACTCGTATAAAAACCTAACTCGATTGAATCTTACATAGTGAGAAACGTTTTCCGTTGTTGGTAAAAATGCATCACATAATATACAGACTAGTATTCAAAATTACATAACAAAAAATTTATTGCAAGGATAAGCCACGAACAAAGGCAATCACACAAGCTCAAATTATTATAGAGGATTTTATAAATCCAACAAAAAAAATATTTTTATCTGTAGCAGTAATAAAGTATGTATGAGCACAACTATCTCCATATAATACGATTTTATCGACCGGGGACGGTCTCGGCGGGGGCCGCCTCAACATAAACTCACAAAATACTCTACATCGATAAAAACTATTCAGTCGTTTTTATTTATTCATAAAAATATATCTTTAAAAGGCTCAAATAAAACTGTTACAGTCCTAAGTACCGTTCACAGTAATTGCGATCGGATCTATCACTGGTGGAATATCCATTGGCACAGTCTCACGTCGAAACCGCAACGTGCTATAGGTTGCACGATTAGTCGCCCAACTGGTCACACAATTATTCGCCCGACCGGTCGCACGATTAGTAGGCCGACCGGTCGCACGATTAGTAAGCCGACCGGTCGCAACTCGGCTTTAGGCTATCACAGGGAGTTGGACCTGTGCTAGGAATGTGACGGGCACAGCCGCGTCGAGCCCCGATTATGCCGAACATCTGCGCACACTCTGCTTTAATTTTGAAAAAGGTGGACTAACAATTCCAATATAACATGGAATTTGCTTCAATTCTCTACTATCGTCATAAATTTAATTCTTCAAAATTCATTGTTTTAATTTGAAGCAAATTTCGTGTCACATCTAGAACTGCCGCACAATATTGTCTGGCAAATCGGCGGTAGTCACCGGTGACATCACTTCGAATGGCCAACCCCGAGTAATCTTGAGACGGTAGATGTACTACAATTAAGATTTTCTCAAACAACGTAGCGATGAGGTGATGATACCGGCATGGGCGTATACCCTCAACTCAACTTCTGCCCATTTGATTTATGACTTTAGTTCGGAATTAGTTGAGTGATCTTGACACATGAATGGTGATTTATCCGGAGTATACGCCCATAAAGTACGGCTAATGCACAGGAAGGGGTTTGTCGGCCTGAAGCCGACGACGCAATAACTGCGATTCGGTCGGAGGAGACAGGCCAAAGGGGGCACAGTAGTCCCCGCATCTATCGGCCACCGTCATGTTCTGCAGCTCCTCGATTATCTGGTTGGCGGCAGGGTTGCAGGACTTGGTACCGCGAAGTGTAGGACGCTCCATGTAAGAGTAGTTCATAGAGAAGTGCTGTTGAATCACACGGTTCACCGCCATTGCTGACTCCGCGAAGTTTGACAGGTTGCGCGCTGATAGGTTGCTGTAAGGGGAGAAAAAAAAACATCAACACGATTGTTAAAACATCTGTCATCTATTAAAAAAAATATCTGGTTAAGTCTGTGCATCAGTGTCATTTTATTTACTCACAATATTTTTTATTTAGTATCAGATGATTACTTCGAATTATTACGACGTAATGTGTGGACAACATGAAAAAATAAATAATCTTTAAAACTATTGTTACTGATACTTGATATTGGTGATTTAAATATAATATTTTTAGGGTCATCTCCTAAGGCACCACTGTAAAGTGCAATTGACTGAGATGACCGTGACAAAAGATATAATGCATTATTAAGATGCCTTTATCTATTTAAAGCAGTGTTGGCTTAGTGGCTGTAGCGTGTGACTGTTAGCCCTGAGGTTGTAGGCTCGATTTTCGGCTGTGCACTAATAGACTATCATTCTATGTGCGCATTTAACATTCGATCGTTCGGCGAAGGAAAACATCATAAGGAATCCAGCTTGCCTTAGACCCAAATAGTCGACGGCATGTGTCAGGCACAGGAGGCTGATCACCAACTTGCCTATTAGATTTACAAATGATTATGACAAAGATATTTTTTTTTAAATATTACTTAAAATATATGATTACAGTATATTCCAAACGATTTGTGTGAGTTTAGTTATGGTAATAAATTAAGGACATCAATTTAACTTATACATGAAATAAAATACTAACCGCTTGATATTAATGGGTGTCTGCAGTGGTGGGTAGTGAGCGGAATCAGCTCGTCGAAGCCATGGATGCTTCAAAACTCTCTCAGCACTTAGCCGATGAGATGCCTCTCGGACCAACAGTTGCTGGATAAGGTCCTTGGCATCAAGCGATATCTCCGACCATTCCTCTTCGGGGAATGTATATCTGCCCTCCTATGAAACAAAATAGGACTTTGAAGTTTCTTATTGGAGATTTTTTTAGATTCCATAGCATTTTTAAGTATGATAAAAACAAACTATTACTGATAACAAACAAATATCAATGAAGCTTTATACAATTATGCAACAAAAAATGTGGTGATTTTATTAATTCTTTATGACGTTATTTACGAAAAATGACTTACTATATGCAACTTTACAGAAATTGGTTAAATAAAGTTAGATAAAGTTTAAAAAAAGGCTTTTATTATCATGGACATAGATAGAATAGAATAAATAAATAGAATACAAATAATACAATTATTTCATTCTACCTTATTACTACTAAGATTATTACAGAATTTCATTAATTGTTACAATGTATAATAATGTCAATATAATGTATAATTTTATCGTTATTATATATTTTTGTTTTTAATATAAATTTTATACATTTGCGTTCATACGCACTCTGCACGGTTTTTGACATAAATAATAATGATATGTAATTAAAAGCATAATTTCTATTTATAACTGCAATATTAATTAAATATAACGTGAAAATAATTATCCAATATAAATAACAGTACGTTGCGGTAAGCCTGAAGTTAGTTTTCAGAGGTAGGCAAACTTCACAAACAACAAATCGTGCAACTAATCAATAAACTGGATCCGAAATCGCAGGACATGAAAAAGATGGCGCGTAACGGAAAAATGTGACGACGTTACTTGACGTAAATTTTTTTCCAACGCCGATAAAGAAGTTTCACTTCAAAAATCCAAAATAGTACTTAACTCTAATATACAAAAATGGGCAAACACGTGGTGTGTTTAAAAACCTCAAGATTATATGAAAATTTACCTGTATAGAAGTGAAGAGCAAATCCTGACACGCACGGCAATTCTCCCCCCTCTCCCACCCACAATCAGCACCGCAATTTGCCCGAAATGGAGGGTAACCGCAGAGCAAAATATATGCGATCACCCCCAACGACCACAGATCACATCGCTTGTCGTAATGCGTTGCGGCCGACCCAGCGAATAGAGATACCACCTCAGGCGCCATGAATTCGGCACTGCCAACCTGAAATCGTCAATAAATTAGTATTTTATAAAAGTCAGTCAGTCACCTTAGCCTATGGCAACTATTTAAGTGGGTGTGTTGTCGGCCTTAGACGGAGTAGTAAGCTCTATAATAGGCAGTAAGTATTGTGCCTGCGCGTATAATACAAGAAAATATGAAATCACAAATTTTACTCACATACACATCAATTATATTAGAAAATAAGCAAGCTAGCAAGGGACCAACAAGAACCACAACAAAAAATTAATAATAACCAAAACTAAATAGAATCTTAAACCTTATTCAGAGCATGATGAACAAAGTTACGGAAAGTTGGAAGATTGGTGTAAAATATATCAATATTTTCTTCAATGTTAGTAATCAAGTTGTAATAGAGATAGTCTATTCACTGGACCATTTAAAGTAGCAGATAAGCGAGCCGTAGGTACGTATAGAAGACTTTTAGTTCTAGTAACTCTAGGATTACAAAGAAAGGAAAATCTTTCCTTCCTTTTAAAGATTTAACATCTTTTATTTTTGTATTCATGACACAATATTCTAAGCTGCTTATTAAACAAAATAGATTGAATATTATAATTTATGGTCTATTAATAAAAATATTTGTTTAAAAAATTATCGTGAACGTGCTAAATTTATAAATTTTGACACATTTTTGACCTTACGCTGTCAAAATGTCAATAGAAGCATTCGTGAATTAACCTTGTGTTCCGATAGTCATCCTCAAATTAATTAATAAATAATTAACACACATTCTGGTTTGTGTTAAATAATTCATACATCTATTGTTAAATGTCTGGATCAATTTGACCTTATAAAACGACCTTGGTGCCCAATTGTAACACTTAAGGAGTTAAATTTTTAGCTTATTTGAATTTGCAAGTGATATTATTTTTAACTGTTGCTGTTAATTTTTACCATTATTATTACATTTTTTGCGTCTGAGACGCATTCCTGTTGTGGTCTCCGGCAGAATGACCAGCGCTGTGGAACACGTCTGCTCCACAGCATAATGCTGAGCCAGGACCAGTGACATTGACAGTGACATTTAAAATATAACTTATTCCTTTTTTTAAATTATTATTATTGTTTTGTGTGGTTCTGTGTGTTAGTAATAAATGTTATGTCTATTAAGGCTGTATCAACTAGTACAAAATTTCCTGCATGCAATTAGCTTTTTTAAGCGAATTTATTTAATATACATTTTACGTTTTAAAATATATATTTCTCGTATCTTGCCTTTTTATCGTTAGTAATCGAGAATGAGATTTTGTTGTATATAAAAATTGCTATTCCATCTGCCTAGATGGAATGGAAAGGACCGATATGGCTTGTTTTTCTAGAAATATTTGTGGAAGTTAAAGTTTAAACGGTGGGAAACATAAATAATAAGTAAAGGAATATACTAAAAACGACAATTGAATCTTCAAAAACTGTTCCATTCAGATATTAGATGTCTTTTTAGAAATAAAAATTGTCACTTGGTTGTCAAATATGTATAGGCTACAGAAATTTGTGCAGTAGTATGAGGTGCGATTTCTTTGGTCTTAAAAAAATGTTGTTTTAAGTTTTGACTCAAAAATATGTAGATAATACGAAATCTTCACCGGGTCATCTAGTAATCCTGTATTTGAAAAAAATCTATGATCTACATGTGATAGTTTATATTGACAATTAACTCACCGGCGTCATAAGCTGCGGCGTTGCCAGTGGACTGGACAGGCTTGAGGTGAAGCTGATGCCACTACCGAGATCAAAGTCGCATATCTTCACCGGGCAGAGCCTATCTCGGTAGACGCATAGAATGTTCTCCGGCTTCAGGTCGCGGTGGGCCACGCCTTTTCCGTGAAGGAAATGCAACGCATTCGCAATTTCGCGTACAATTTCTGCAGCTTGCGGTTCAGAGAAGTAATGGTGCTCTTGTATGCGCCCGAGCAACTGACCGCCGTTGATCTGAAAGGATAAATATATATTTACTACTAAATTCGATTCTTAGAATCTTTTAACCACGACAGTTTTTCGCCTGTATTTATTCTTATTACATAAAATATAACAAACGGCTCACTTGATGTAAGTGATACTGCCCATGGACATTCACATTGCCAGAAGGCTCTCAAGTGCCGGCCTTGCCGTGCCCGGTCGCAAGTAAAAATGATGAATGCCGATTTATTTTTATGAATAGTTAGGAAATTCTTTTTTAATCGATTTTAGGGTTGCCAGACTGCACTAATCGCATTTATTTGATTGTTATTAAAGATTTGTGTTAAATATAAAATTTTGTCCCCATAAGAGGTTAGGAGAGTGTATAAATAATCTAATATTTGACACGGGTCAAAACTAAACTAAACAAATACAGAACGAGAATCTTCTATACCAATTGGAACAACATCAGATGATCACTTAACCCCGTAATTACGCAAATAACCTTTCATATATAAACATTGATAAGGTGAGATATTTTTTCTCCAACGCTCAATTGCATTGCGACAAATAATTGCCTATAATAAACGATTTTAAACCCCGCTATTGTATATTATTTCTTAAAAACCATCCTAGGAGTTCAGGCACCTCTCATTGTATGTTCGCGAATATATGAGAATAAACTCTAGAGCTTCATATATTCGGTAGTGGGCTGATCAATTAAAAAAAAAACATTGTGAAGCGCCTATCTGGTACCTAATCCGCATTATTAAGCAAACAGTTACTAGTAAAAATTGTTAGTGTAGTATTTTTAGTTATGTTCACCATAATTGTAATGTATTTTAGAATAGATAGCTTGTAACATATACCGAAATTTACTTTAATAAACAAATAAAAAACTTGGATCAATTTAGAGAAGAAATTGTAATAATAATGCTGCCACACATAATGGCGTGCAAATTTGTCTCAAAAGGTAGAATATAAATTACAATTACATTATGAGTCATAATTATAGTCAATTCTTATATTCTTTATCACTACATCATCAAATTTATAAAATATATACGTTATCAAATTATTACAATGTTTACGCAAATAATCATTAATATGATAATAAGTAGCATTGTTACGGTATTGAAAAATATATTTTAATAAAGCTTGTTTTTTTGGTAATAAAAATATTGTTGTTTTTGCATAACTGTTATAATATCTTTGTAGCTTGTACGTTATATTTTTGGATGTAAATGATATTGTAAACAAAGTAAGAATATTATGAGTCAGCATTAAAACAAAGCTTATAAGGGCGAGGCCCCACTAGTGCGTTGCGCTGCGTGCGTCGTCAGCGTCGCGTCGCCGCTACTACGTTTCCCATATTATTTCTTATACATGCCCCATTATACCGTTGCGTCGTCGCGCGCGACGTTTCATTGGATCGACGGACGAGAGACGAAGCAGGGGGGAGGGTGATCACTATTTCTTAATGATATCAGAGGAGATATCCAGAATCTTCTATGGTTTCTAAGTTTAATTCGGCGGTGGCGTAATAAAAGCAACAAAAGAACAAGTTTGTGTATGTCCATTGCGAAGGCTGAGACGCAGATGCGACGGCGTGTATACCCTCTTGCGTCGCGACGTCATGCGTTGACGCAACGCAGATGTGGCATACAATGCGTCGATCCGATGCGACGACGCGACGCAACGCAGTAGTGGGGCCTCGCCCTAAGGCTATGTTCACATGTACAAGTAGCGGCACGAAACTCTAGCGCTGACCGTTATTGCGCAGAAGTAAAAAATAAGGTACCTGAGGGGGGCTAGCGGAATGAAGAGTTTCGATTGGCTCTCCAGTCGCATTCCGTCCCCCGCGCGACAGTACACATGCGCAGCAATCCCCTCCACGTATCGGCCAGCGCTAGACTTACGTGCCGCTGCCTATGACGCGCGTTAACGCGCGATCAAATTTGAAGAGAGTTCAGATGATGAGCGCTAATGCGCGTTGCGAGAGTACTCGTCAGTCTAGTTCGGTAGGACGTAGAAAATGGACGTGGAAGAGGCTATTATTTTGTGGTTATATTATAAAGAAAAATATAGAAAAAGAAAACGTACACATTGAGTTCATCCAATTTTGAAAAATAGACCCAGTTTGTTATAAATATAATTACGAAAATTAACAAAATTACATACGATCGCGATGAAAGCGCGCGCTCAACTGAACAGCATACGGACATTACATTAATATCAAAGCGCGCGTCAACGCGCGATCACCTGCGTCTAGAGACTTTTTCTCTGAGCGCCGCGTTGACGCGTGCACATGTGAACAGTTGTATGAAAATACCACAATGTCTAGTCGCGCGATTTGAAAACGCGCGTCAAGTTTTTGCCATCTGAACATAGCCTAAGAGTCCATATAAGTTACAACTGCAGACTGACGATGCAGTTTTCGATGTATTTATATTGCTGTTTACAACTCACGTTGCGTGACAAATATTCTGAATAATTCGGAATATTCTGGTACCTTATCCGCTTTATTAAGCAAACAATTACTAGTATAAATTAAAATTGTAAGTGTAGTATTTTTAGTTATGTTCTTATTAAAATTATTCATTAAAAATCATTTTAAAATATCCAATTGTAGATTGACGATGTCAAGAATGCTAAACAATCTTTGTTTATACAGTTTTGTATTACCTACTATACACTATACATGTTCTGTAGTACATTACTATGATGCAATAATTCTTTATATGGAAGCAGGATATTATTACTGTAAGTAGTATATTTATTTTATATAACCGGGCAAATGGGCAGGAGGCTCGCCTGTTGTTAAGTGCCGCTTTTAAGAATTGGTAAAAGTAAAAGAATTGCAAAAGTCAAAATCATTAATTAATTTAGGTAACACAATGTACACTTATGAACAATAAAGAAATACATATTAAATTCTTCTAATTTTACATTTACTGCCAGTACTCAAATCAAGGGCGTAGAACGGAAGAGAAGAACTGGCAATAAACTCTCCACCGCTCTTTTTAACATTTACGTAAAAATTATTAATCCTTCACAAAGTACTTTTACCCGAAGCCTATTAAAAACTTTTAACACGTGACCCGACACGATAGTGACAATTGCGCAAATGATATTTTCAATTTTTTTACAAACCTTTTCGAAGACAAGGTAAAACTTGTCGGTGTCCTCAAAGAATTCAATGAGCTGGATTATGTTGGGATGGCCCTGACAATAGTGGAATGTCTCCACTTCCCTGAAAACCCGGGCGCGGGCGTGCCCCGGCACTTTGTCGATGATCTTCACAGCGAACTCTTGCCCCGTGTATATGTTCACGCATGTTTGTACCGAAGCATATGCTCCCTCACCGAGAACCTCGCCCGTTAACTTGTACAGGTCTGAAAACATACATCAGTAAGACTCACTCCAGAAGTGTTTAAGGCCCTATCCCATCACGAATTGCTGTGTCAGGGTCTCGGGGTGGACGGGGTGGCGCAGTGGAGAGCCGAACAATTAGTTATGTAAAATATTAAATTAATGTAATTTTATAATTTTTTTTACTGAAATGGTTTACTTGGGTTGCGATAAATATCGTGTAAATTTCAAAATCATGTTCTTTATACATATTCGTCATAAAATGAATTCAGTGTCAAAAATTGGCTATGTTTGGTTTTTTTTTCTATCGAACGAAGTTATTTGAATCGTGTATTGATCTGTCAAAATGGATACATTAACTACTCAACTCCACTAAATATTTTTTCCTCCCTACTTCATGAAACGATGTCGAAAAATGGAAAGAAACCATTTACTTTTTATGAGTTTGATATAGGTCCTTAATATTGAGTACCACACAATTCTAAATTTATCAAGATTGTATCGGAAACTTATTTGAATTGGATTCGATATTAGAAATTGATATTAGGGCTTCAGAGGTTTTGTCTATAGATAATTAAATAGGATTTCATCTATACCTTGGAAACATGATGTGACCACGGAGCTGCCAGAACGCTTCTTTCTGCGGCGTTTCCTGCGGGCCTCTTCCTTGCGGCGCTGGAGGTCCTCACTGTCAGGGATCGCTACAGGTGCTGACGTCTCTGAACCACGGGGTACTTCTATCTCCCGTTCGCTCCCTGACTGACTGCTGCCGCGACCGACGCCTGGAAATAGAGAACTATTATTAATATGTCTGTACACAATATAAAATATATATTATGTTACAAGATTGAGGGGAAAAAATTTTTTAAGGGGGGTGTGGTTTTTGGTTGGGGGGGGAAAAAAAAAAAGGGGAAAAAAAAAAAAAAAAAAAGGGGGGGGGGGGGGGTTGGGTGTTTTTTTTTGGGGGGGGGGGAAAAAAAGGGGGGGGGGGGGGAAAAATTTTTTTTTTTTGGGTTGGGTTTTTATTGATATTTTTTTGTAAAAAATTTTTTTGGGTAGTTTTGGGCAAGTCCAGGTGTAATACTGTCGTGCAGTCATGTAAGACTTTTACAAAGAGAAAAGAGAAATAGATGGAATAACTCCTGCTCAGTGAGAGCTGCAGATGTAACCTAACGTTCGTAGGATCTCTATACATACTCAAATAAATCGAAATTAACTTTTATATACGAAGCCCATTATTTCCAAAAGGAAACCACGGCAGAGTAGATAAAAATAGAAGACCTTTTAATAATCACATTGAAATTGTTACGAGGTCGATAAAAATTTACAGCCGATAAATATTTCTATATTTTATAAAACAGGCGGAAGCGTTCTCAAGTGGGCTTGTATCAAAATAACCGCTAAAATTGTTTCATGATGCTAAAATGATTGGACTAAGAATAACTTTTGAAGTTGTTACTAAATTTCTATAGCGATTCGTATGTAAATCTGACATATATTTATGTATTTAAAATCTGTATTAAAACATTTGGATACATCTACAGAGGCTCCAAATAGAGCTGTAATATTTAAGCATGTGAACATACCGAGGGTATGTGCGTTCTATTTTTTCTTGTTTGTATGGTTCAGGTCAACGCTGTTCGAAAAGAATCGAAAATCAACGACAGACACAATACTGCTCACCTACTTGGCCATAAATGAAAACTGAAACGGTCGCAGAAATATGTCTACCCCATTAGAAGGCACACGAAAATTGCCGGTAAAAACTTCCATCTAAATCCTAGTAAGCCCTTTTTTAATAGAACTGAGGGCAAACGGGCAGGAGGCTCACCTAATGTTATATGATACAGCCGCCCATGGACACTAAATGCCAGAGGGCTCGCGAGAGCGTTTAGAATTGGTACGCTCTTTTCTTGAAAGACCCTAAGTCGAATTGGTTTGAAAATTCTTCAGTGAAAATGTTTTCCCTTTGATAACACTGTTTTGCCCGCAGGGTAACAATTTAGAAATCCGTCGCCCGAATTTGATGATACTGATTATTTACCGGGGGACCTTGATTGGAACACCTCCAAGTGATTTTTGTTGCCGGAGTTGCGTCTAAGTATTAAAAAAATTATTTAATATTTTGTGTAATGTTGAAATTCGTAAAGAAACCGTACATTTTCTACTTTTCTATTGATTATTAGAGATGTGACATTCTGCATAAAAAACGGGTTTTTTAAGTAATCGATTGTTTTTTAGCATGCTAAATCGATGAATAAAAACTAATCGATTTGGATAAAATTCCGTCCACCAGCGATTTTGAGGCTGATTTTCATAGATTTTTTCATATTTATCGATTATTTCCTAATTTTTTAATTTTAATTTTAGATTTTTAGAATTGGTACGCTGTTTTCTTTAAGGACCCTAAGTCGAATTGGTTCGAAAATACTTCAGGGAAAATGTTTGCCCTCAGTCGTGGCCACAGACCGCGAAGGTTTAAAAACACCTGGTTAACTACACAAACCAAACATACTGGCCAGTCTCTTCCGTCCCTTGTGGATCCAAACTTGTGTACAAGCCATTTAGGCATTAATAAATACTCAGTACAAACTTAATTAAGCAAATTAAGCTGCAAATAGACTTTTATGGTATTATCCACTTTTCTTCGTAGACAAATGTGCATTTCTATGCAATCACGCCGCAATCTTAATCCAATTGGTAGCAAAGACGTATTTCTTCTCACGTGTTGCACAATTTACTTTTAGAAATAAGCTTGAAAGAACCAGTTTATTTAATTTTAAAACAGTTTTATACATTTTGTAATTTTGTTTCATCGTGGACTTCTTCCGAGATGTGAATAGAAATCACTTTGACAGTTCTCAGTTAATTGTCAATGTCAGTAAGTTTTTAAAAAGGAGATTCGTTTAAATTATTTTTTTATTTGTTCTTTGTTTTACACCCGTTTCTATATTCAAAATACGTTATTGCTACAAGTACAATTTTCTCATATCTGTCCGTTTTAATTAGATCGATCTCATACATTGGATATAGTGTTAATTATTAGAGTAGAACTACGACCCATACGTCAAAAATGTTTTGGATTTCGACATAATATGTAACAGTTTCGTTTCTGAATAGGAGCCGAAAGAAGACTGAATATATTGAGTATGTAAAAATATAATTGTATAATTAATTTTCTAGGGATATAGGAATAAAAGCTTATGAAAAAAGCTACAATTTTATAATTAATTCTACACTAGGAAAAATATTTGCGTCCGTTGTAGATAAAAAATGATTTTTGTTTATAGTGATAACACTAAAGCTAAATGAGTATAATTTATATAATATAGTTCATTGTTGTTTCTTTGTAATCTTTTATTATGTTTTTTAGTACTGTTAAGCCGGTGCAAACATATCTTTATATATATAAATTACGCGTCACGCTGTTTGTGAACCTATGAACTCCTGAACTACTTAACCGATTTCAATCAATTTGCACACCGTGTGTAGTTCCATACTTAAACTTAAAAGATGATATATATATATATATAACTCTACTGTACGTTAATGTCACTGAACTCCTCTTAAACGGACTAATTTGAATGATTTTTTGTATACGTTTTGGATGGAGCTCTGGATGGTTTAGATTCACAAATCAGCCCGCAGGGCGCTGCAGTCGGTACTTTCATACTTTGTTTAATATCCTAATATCATGCAGGCAACGTCTGTCGGGTCAGATAGTTATATATAAAAAAAGTTGCAACACTAGTCCTACAGAAAGTTTAACTTCTAAATTCACCTAAAAAAAGGTAACCTGTATTATATAAACAAAGGCGTTCAGTAACAAAAACGTTTATCATCATGACGCATCAATTCCTTTGGCGGTAGCAACAGTGTGAAAGCATAATGATGTATCCATATTGTCTTCCGATCTTTACGAGTTACGTGCATCAAAAACAATGTCGTGTCGATAGCTCTCTCCGCTTTCAACCATTGTTGTTTTAGTACGAATTTATCTTTCCACGTTACCAAAGAGGGAGGAAATATTTTATTTAGCGGCAAGGTTGACATGTTTAGCAGTAGTACAATTTCTTTAAAATATTGAGTTGTTTAATGTTTTATTTACGTTTTCTTTATTTATCTATCAATGTACTTAATTGACCTATGTTTTCTGTTTCGTATATTTTGTTTATCAATGTAATCGGTTTTGGCTTTGTATATCGTCTAAGTGTTTTTGTTTTTATAATATGTATATATCAAGCTATAAGATTAGCTAGCTAGCTGACGCGGCAACGTTGTTTTGCCATGAATATATCATATGATTTTCCATGTATATTATTTCTTTAGTTCAATAAAAATAACTATCAATAATAAAAAATAGGGGTGATAATTAAGGGTTGTATGTATTTTTGTATGATGTATCATAAAAAAATACATATAAACAAAAAAAAATTTTGTAAAAAAATTTTTTTTGGTGTGGACACCCTTTATCACTTAGAGGTTTGATAGGTTTGATAGTAGCCGATTCTCAGGCTTACTGAATATGCATAAAAAAATCATAATAATCATTCGAGTATGGGAACGAACGTTGTGATACCAGAATTTTATATATTAAAAATATATATTATGTTAAGATGCTAAACTTAAATCTATAATTAGTTTTTCGTGGGACACTGTTTGCACTAAATTTTCTTTTCTATTGTATCATTTGTAGTCTGTGGATACTATACATTATGTAATTCACGCTTTTTTTTATAGAACAGGGGGCAAGCAAACAGGCCGGAGGCATGGACCTTCACTTGGCAGAAGACCACCAGTGTTGCTGGACTTTCAAGAATTGGTATGCAGGCTTCTTGAAGTGGTATGCTGGTTTTTTCACAATACAGTGAATTTGTGTAACTATTTTGTACTACTTGCGTACCAATAGATAATAATTTATGCTTCGCAGTGAAATAATTAAATTTTTTCAATCGTTTCGATTTACCAAATTCGGTTAATACAAAACAATAAAATAGCAAACATCGAACACATATTTATTTGAATTTTAGAGTTGTTATGATGCTATTTGAATTTAAGTGAGGAAAGATTTTTTTACTAAATACTTTACGTAAGATTTAAACATGTCGACATGTAACCATATGTTTCAGCAGATGTGAACTTTATTACATGAATCTCCACAAACAACCAAAGGATGCATTAGTCAAGCTAGTGTATCAGCTGATAGAATATTATTATTTTGATACGTGACTGCAGCTGAGTTGGCAAACAAAGCGAGTTCAACGACCTGTGGCCGCGCCCACTGCGTATGCGTCGCTATATCATGATATATTTAACTGAAGGGAATAAGGTTCTCATTTGAAATTAGATCGCATTCTTAGAGAATAATAGAATTGTTACCCAAATTAAACTGGTTATGATTTTAAAAGCTCTTTGAGATTATGAGATTTTATAAATAAAATAAACCAGTGGCGCTTCAACCTTTTTAGGTCTGGGCCTCAGATTTCTGTATGTGTTTCATGACCATTTGTCAATCTAATAGGCAAGTAGGTGGTCAACTTATTGTCCCTGACACACGCCGTCAACTTTTTGGGTCTAAGGCAAGCCTTTCTAACTTTAAAAAAGAAAGTCCATCGGTGCAAAGCCGGGGATCGAACCTACCACCTCAGAGATGAGAGTAGTACGCTGCACTATTTTACAGAGCTAAATAAATAACTAAACAATTATTGTCTTCGGAAGTGACTCTATTAACACCAGCGTTATCTTCCTAGTCCTTTGTTACAACATACTTGAATACCAATTA